TCTTCCTTTACCTGCTTACCTTTATTTCCTGCATCCTCTATGATTTGATATACTAGTTTTTCTTGGTTATCTGATCCTTTCATTTTACTGCAGGGGAATAAAGTAGAATTAAAAAGACAAAGAGATACAGGATAATCTAATAATCTACATAATTACTTTAATGAATTAGCAGACAAGGTCATCACATTGACTTATTTACCAAAAGAAGGGCTTACCTTAAAAAGAATGAGACAGGGCTGTATGTACCAGAATGAAAAGATGTCCAAGATATAGTAAGTGAAAAAAACAAGTTGCAAAACAGTATGGATAGCATGATCCCATTTTTGTTAAAAAAAAAAAAAAAAAAGAAAAAAAAGAAAAGAGATTATATATAGTATATAAATATATAATCATTTCTATATATTTATATATATACCTACAAGAAAGGACATATACCAAATTATTAAGAGCAGTTATCTCTGAGAAATGGAACTCATGATAAGAGGTGGGGATGGTATGCAGGACAGGTTTACATTATGCAATTCTATGTTGACTTTTTCCCAAAAAAACATAGGTTACATTTGCAATAATTAAAGTTTCTTACAATAAAAAAATTAGGTGCTTACCCAGCATTCTGAGAATCCTTTATTCTATACAGAAGGCCTGTATTGCTCCTTAAGAGATCCAACTGACCCTAAAGTTTTTTTTTTTTTATAGAAAATAACAATGAATTATCTTGGAGATACTTCAAATCAAGCACAAATGTTCACGTATTCTTTAAAATTTTACACAAACCAAAATATCCTACCCCACAAAATTATTTGTTAGTTTCTCACTCGAGACTTAAGTTTTTACCTACATATTACATGTAATATATTTTTGAAACCATAGCTCTTTAGGTTGTCATTTTCTAAAATATAAATACTTAACAATTTCTTATATGCTATACCCTAGCTTAGTTATATGATCAATGCATAAATAATTCTGAACAGCTTTAGAATAATAAATAAAAATCTATATTTGAATTCAAATAAATTCAACAAATGTATAATATAAACTTAAAAATGAAAATATAATTTATATAAAGATTTCAAATGAAGAATAACATGCATAAATATTTTATAACATGATACAGTAAAATTTGCCAAGTTAATAGTAACATTTACTGATTTGTGTTATTTCTATTACATTACATGACAATTAGGCAGGAATGTCAAGCAATGAATAAAAGATGCAGTAGATTTGGTTTTATATAGCAAAAGTGAAGAAAGCATGTCTGACATGCTTTTGAAATCCCTTGGGTCTGAACTTGGGAGCACTCAGGTGGCTGTACTACCAGACTTCTGGCTGTTTGGGGAACTCATGGCTAAAGGAGCCCCAATTCTCATCAGTTAAGACTGGGCTGACACAGGACTTGGAAACAGGTTTACATATGAATGAACAGCAATTGTCCCTGGACCCCACTAAGTAGCAAAATCAAACCACAAAGTTCCATTTGTAGGTTGTTTAATTCAGCCTATGAACGTTTACCGAACATCCGTACTGTGATATATGATTGTGGGGGGAGACGAACATGAATTCTAAAAGAGAATCACACATGTAATTTCAACTATCTTGAACACACACAGGGATAGTAGGAATGGAAATGAAGAGGAAAATTTGAGAGCTGTTTAAGAGCTAAAATCAGCACCACTTTGTGATTCACTGATACTTATTCCCTTAAAATTCATTATAGCTCCATCACTGCTTATATCCTATAGACAACAGGACTGGCAGTAGAAGGGGCTGTAGAGGTGGGAAAAGAGAGGATGATTTTCAGACAGAAAGCAAAGGGCTGAAAGGGCAGTCAGAGGACAAAAACAGTTTCCACTGCCACAACCTGCAGCATCCATTCCACTATCCTTCCTGGAACCAAGTCCTTCACCAAGGTGAAATGATTAGAATTCATCAACAGTACTAAAACAGAGGTTAGCAATCTGGCCCATTGCTTGTTTTTATAAAGTTTTTTTTTTTAAAGAAGTAATTTTTTTTAGATTTTTAAAATTTATTCATGAGAGACAGAGAGAAAGAGAGAGAGAGAGAGAGAGAGAGAGAGAGAGAGAGAGGCAGAGACACAGGCAGAGAGAGAAGCAGGCTCCATGCAGGGAGCCCGATGCGGGACTCGATCCTGGTTCTCCAGGATCAGGCCCTGGGCTGAAGGCAGCGCAAAACTGCTGAGCCACCCGGGCTGCCCTTGTTTTATAAAGTTTTACTGGAATGCAGCCATGCTCATTTCTTACTGTATGGTCCATGGCTACTTTCCTGCAGAGTTGGGTACCTGCAACAGAAACCACAAGGCCTGCAAAGCCTAAAATGCATACTATCTGGCACTTTATTTTCAAGGGGCAGCCCGGTTGGCTCAGCAGTTTAGAGCCGCCTTCAGCCCAGAGCGTGATCCTGGAGACCTGGGATCGAGTCCCACGTCGGGCTCTCTGCATGGAGCCTGCTTCTCCCTCTGCCTGTGTCTCTGTGTTTCTCTCTCTCTCTCTCTCTGTGTGTCTCTCATGAATAGTTAAAATCAAAAAAAAAAAAAAAAAAAAAGAAAGAAAAAAGAAAACTTTTTGAGCCACTGAGCTAGAAGATTGAAGGGAGTAGTTTATTTTTTTTTAAATTTTTTTATTTATTTATGATAGTCACACACACAGAGAGAGAGAGAGGCAAAGACATAGGCAGAGGGAGAAACAGGCTCCATGCACCGGGAGCCTGATGTGGGATTCGATCCTGGGTCTCCAGGATCGCGCCCCGGGCCAAAGGCAGGCGCCAAACCGCTGCGCCACCCAGGGATCCCCTTAAGACACTTTTGAATGGTTTCACAACTACATAATCGGAAGTAATGACAATTATAGCACATAAATATATGAACTAGCTGAATTTGCCTTACCATGGATAGCAGTCTATTGATGGCAACTGCCCGCTGCTGGGCTTCTATATGAGGCATTTCATTCTGAATTACTTGGTCTGTAATTCCATGAGGGAACTGATGACATAATTCTATAATCCTAGGAACAAAGGCAAAATGGTATTATTCATGTTTTTACCTATTTCAAGAGACAGTGGGGGGGAAAATACAAGCAGAACAGTTTGAAATTGTGCCTTTTTTTCACATTGGGAAGATAAATTTTTTTTTTTTTTTAAGGGGAGATAAAAAGGGAAGGGCAGAGAAGAGAGAATCCTAAGCAGGCTCCATGCCCAGTGCAGAGCCCGATGCAGGGCTCAATCTCACAACACTGAGATCATGACCTGAGCTGAAACCAAGAGTCACATGCTTATCCTACTGAGCTACCCACGTACCCCATGCTAAAATAAAATAATCTGGGTTTCTGTGATGGTTGTGAATGAAAGCATGTTAGAGACTGTGCAAGACAAAGTATATGTTTACACTGTAACTATTATTTCAGAGGAGCACTTCTTAAAAATATTTTATTTATTATTCACGAGAGACAGAGAGAGGCAGACGTGGGCAGAGGGAGAAGCAGGCTCCCTGTGGGAAGCCCGGTGAGGGGGACTCGACCCCAGGATGGCAGGATCAGCACCTGAGCTGAAGACAGGTGCTCAACCAATGAGCCACCAGGTGCCCTTAAGAGGTGCATTTCTTTTCTCTGCTAATATGAACCTTAAATTAGAACAAGAGTCAAGTGAACATACGGAAAAAATATTAAGGTTGAGGCTTCAATGTTCTCAGATGGAACAAGTATGACAAAATTAATACTCAGTGCATTGGGCAGCCGTAAGTCTGCAAAGAGGAGGCAAATCAGACACGTCTGGTAAGAAGGCAACATTCGTTACGACAATTCACCATAACTGGAGCTTGCTTTTAGGATCATCTCTACCAAACAAAAATAAGCCCGAATATCCACCTTGTCATAGGATCATTACACGTGTTTCCAAAAGTCTGAGAAAGTTACGGTCTTTCAAAACCATGTGACGACCTAAAAATATCAGTGCACGGATAGCGAATATAAAATCAGGAGAGGCTTTAGGTGACCTAAAATCTTAAGTACTGCACGGAAACTATTTGTTTCAATGTCTCTTCAAAAATCACAAAGCGCACCCTCACTTGGCCCAAATGTCCCGTCGTGGGAGTTCTCGATCCTGAATCAGAATACGCCGGTGGTCTCCGGGTGTAGCGTAGATCCCTCCCCGAGGAGGGAAGCGCATCATCACTACCCCCGACGGCGCCGGGGCAAGAAGACCCAGGAGGTCACAGACCGTCCGACTCGCTGGGAACGTGCGCGCGCCGGGATCGGCCGAGGGGCCGAGGGGCCGGGGGGCCGAGGGGCCGAGGGGCCGGGGGGCCGGGGGGCCGAGGGGCCGGGGGGCCGAGGGGCCGGGGGGCCGAGGGGCCGAGGGGCCGGGGGCCGGGGGGCCGGGGTCCGGCGGCCCCAACCCCTGGCCGCCCGTGGGGGCTCGGGGGCGGGGAAGCGAGCCTCCCTCGCTGATTTACCTGTTTTCTACTTCGACCGGATCCGCGTCGGGCGGCTGCACTTTCACCTTCACCTCAGCCATGAGGTGCCTACTTCCGGGCCCCGGGAGAAGAGACGCGCGGGGTCGCAGCCAGGGCACGGCCCGCCGGGAGGCTGAGGGCCCGGGGCCCGGGGCCCGGCGACGGCTCGCGCAGGGGGCCTTCTTTCTCACGTGGCAGCCGGCCCTCCCTAGTTCCGTCGGCTTGAGGCGGCCAAGCCGCGCCTGATCGCCTCCTCCGCCCGCGCCCTTACGCCTTGCCCCTGTTTGTTGACTGTCAGTGCCTGCCGGACACACGAGCCTGGCCCCCTCCGTCTGGCGTCGGGACGCCACCCCCGAGCACTCCCCACCTCCGTGAAGGCGTATTCTCAGAGGCCTGCGGGGACGCCTCGGGAAGGCGCTCGAGGCGGGTACCCCGCGGGCCTGGCGGCGGGGGCGGAGCCGGTTGCTAGGAAGTCGGCTTCCGCCAATCACCTGCCGGGCTCTCGTGGGCGGGGCCCTGCTCGCGGCGTCTGTGGAAACGCAGGCGGCGGCCGAGGGGAGGGCGGCAGGCGGTGAGAGGCGGGCTACCTGCCTGGGAGCCGTGGCGCTACCTCGGGGTGCCGACCTGGGTCGCGGCGGCCGGGGGGACGGGAAGAGGAGGGAGGACGGGGAGGAGAAGGGCCCCCAAGGACCGAGAGGAGGCGGGCGTCCCTATTTGCCCCCGATGGGCCGGGACAGGGACCCAGGGGTTCCGGAACCGGGCGGCGAGGGGCAGTATCGACGGCAGGGGCGAGGGGCTGGCGGCGCCGCCGACCCTCACTGCCATCTGGGCCTAGCATGTCGGTCTGCTTCTTGATCCTTTCGCTAGAGGCCCAGTGGCCGCCCCTCCCAAGGGTAGCGCCTAACTGCGACGCGTATCCTTCCCCTGTATTTTTTATGTTTTTATTTTGGACTGATCTTTCGACTACTTTTTTAACTGCCTCTTAAAGGAAAAAATGAGGAACAGACAGCACCTTCCTCTCCCCTCCCTCTCTCTTCCCTGAGTCCAGCCATCCTTCGGTGGACGCTATTACTCTAAATATCAGTATCTGCAATTTAAATTCTTAATCTCTGCCCTGGAATTATCTAAATCAGGCATTGAATCCACTTCCTAAATTTAGTTTCCAGCTTTAGGAAATGTAATCTGTGACAAAATTCAAACCACAAATTATTCAGAGCAGTATCATTTAGGATTGCACCAACCAAAACTAAAAAGAAACTAGTAGTAGCCCAAATGCCCAACCACAAACAAAATGATAAATAAGATTATGTAAGTATGTGGAAGATTGTAAATAAGAGAGTAGGTGCAAAAGTACACTCTAAAAATTGACCCAACACATAGGTTATAACTGAGTGAGTTTATGTATCCGTGACCATTAAAATTTGAAAAGGCCACACATAGATGTAAACGGTTGTTGTATTAAGGTGAGGTTTGCTTTCCCCGCATATTCTCTATGCTTTAAGACTTATACTCCATCCCACTGAAAAAGATCAGTAAGGCCTCCATACTTACATTCAGTTATTTATAAATACAGTATATGGGGTGGGAGACTTTGTTTGTTGCTCACTCTTTTTATCTGTGCCAACCTTCAGCTGAGACATGATACTCTGCCATCCTTCTAAAATTTCTTTGCAGCTTTAAAATGCAAGGACCTCTTGGTGACAACAGGGGGCCTTGAGCCTGGTGCTTTCCCAAGGGAGTTGGCTCTAAATTAACATTTCATGTCACATACAGAGTTACTTCTGTTCCTCTTGTGTGATGTCCTGCCCTGAAGCCAAGAGAGGTGACGCATTGACAAGGGGCAGGAGAGGTTGATAATGCTTTAGGGGGAGCTCAGATCAGATCACTAGTGATGGCCTCTGTTCTAATGTACACTAGTCTCCTCTTACCTGCAGTTTTGCTTTCCATGGTTTCTCTTACCTGCAGTCACCTGGGACCCAGAAGCAGATGATCCTCTTCCTAATGTCAAAAGGTCAGTAGTAGCTTAATGCTACATTACGGCGCCGAGGTCATTCACCTCGCTTCATCTCATCATGTAGGCATTTTCTCATCTCACGTCATCACAAGAAGAAGGGTGAGTACAGTACAATAAGATATTTTGAGAGAGACCACATTTGCATTCCTTATATTACAGTATGTTGTTGTAATTGTTCTATTTTATTATTCTTGTTGTTAATCTCTTACATGATTTCTAAATTAAATTTATCATAGGTAGGTATGTATAGGAATATACAGTATATATAAACGATATTTATAGGGTTTGGCACTATCCATGGTTTCAGGCATCCATTTGGGATCTTGAACATTTCCCCTGTGGAAAGGAGGGACTGTTGTATTCATCTAATTTGTTCATTTAAAATAATTTCAGGGGTGCCTCAGTGGCTCAGTCGGTTAAGCATCTGCCTTTGGCTCAGGTCCTGGAGTGGGATAGAGCCCTGCATTGGGCTCTCTCACTTGCTCAATCTCTCTCTCAAATAAATAAATAATCAATTAATTAATGAAATAACATCTTTTTAAAAGTAATTTTGTATGCTCATCTCGTTCATTCTTGCTCTTTTTCTAGAAATGAAGTATATAGATAATCAAAATCCTACACAAGACCTCAACAGCAAAAATGTAGCTGAAACAATAATTATTTGAATTAAAAATTAAATAATATTTTTAGGTGGCATTCTCTTTATTTTTCTTTAAGATTTTATTTATTTATTTGAGATGGAGAGAGACAGATATAGGGACAGAGAGCACAAGCGGGGAGGAGAGGAAGAAGCAGGCTCCCCCTGAGCAGGGAGCCTGATGCAGGGCTAGATCCCAGGACCCCAAGATCATGACCTGAGCCAGAGGCAGATGCTTAACTGAATCACTAGTTTTGCTGTGTTTATACAAAGTGCTTCTCTTCAATTTTTGTGTTCAAAAAGGTGCCCATTGGAATTGATTTTCATCCTTTTTTTTTTTTTTTTAACGTAAGGAGAGAAAATGACTGCTGGCTCAGTGTGTGTCCCTCAGATCATACCATTGCGAGTGCCTCTGCCTGGAAAAGCCAACCATGAAATTGATAACAACACACTTTTGGAAATGAAATCCGGTAAGAATCAAATATATTTGAAAGCATGTGACACAACATTGCCATACTGTATGTTCATCTGGTCATTGATTTATCACATTGCATGCTTTCTACAATTAGGACCTTGGGAATTTCATAAAAGTACCAAAATTTGAAAAGTTCCAAAATTTGTACTTGGTGGTTTATAGAGTGGTATACATCTATATTAAAGTGGTTGGCTTTCACCAAACTTTCATATGTATCAGTACACAGTTGCAGCAATGCCTTGACTCACATTAGCCAAAGTAAGATGTCCAAGTTCTTCCTCAGCCTTTCCCTGGATTCTTGTTATTTTGCTGGGATAAAAAATTTGACCCACTAACACAGAATTTCCAGTCAGTCATGTTGGAGATTAAATCCTGCTTTTGATAACTTCTAGTGATACATTACTTTGTCTGAGTCTCAGTTTTCTCATTGTTAGTGAGAATAGTATCTACCATTTAGAGCTACTGTGAGGATTAAATGACATGTGAGGTGCACAGGGTCTGGTGCATGGTAATGCCAAAATAAATCTTAACTACTATTACGGGAAGAAAGTAGTGAATACATTTCCTGGTAATGATAAAACTGCATATATACACATATCATACTTATATATACATATATATCTACATATATACATAGGTATATATAAAGTAAACAAAGGAGAAGGGAAAACTTTTTTTTTTTTAATTTCTGTGTCCAGTGTGGGGCTTGAAAAGAAGCTAGGTGCCCCAGGAAAGTTTTATAGATAAAACATATGAACAAGTACATGTTTAAAAAGACTTTGAAATTCTAATTTATGTTTTGATAATTAATAAGTAAAGTATGTTTCTTTATATTTCTGGTAACCCCTGTGCTTCCTAGACAAATTCCAACTAAGAATACTTTATATCACACTTTATCTTAAAAACTAGTATTATTTTTAAAAATTCTCAAACCATGGGGTGCCTGGGTGGCTTAGTGGTTGAGCTTCTGCCTTTGACTCAGGGCATGATCCCGGGGTCCAGGATCGAGCCCCACATTGGGCTCCTGCAGGCAGGCTACTTCTCCCTCTGCCTATGTCTCTGCCTCTCTCTTTCTGTGTCTCTCATGAATAAATAAATAAAATCTCAAACGAAAAACAAGTCTCAATAAATTTGCCCATAGCTCTTGGGAGAAGGTAGGTCATCACTGACAAATGATGATATGAATGATAGAGATCTGAATTCCCTAATATTTAAAATTCTTTTAAGATTTTATTTATTTATTCATGAGAGACACAGAGAGAGAGGCAGGGACATAAGCAGAGAAAGAAGCAGGCTCCCCATGGGGAGCCGGGTGTGAGACTCCATCCCAAGACCCTGGGAACATGCCCTGAGCTGAAGGCAGACGCTCAACCACTGAGCTACCCAGGCGTCCCAATATTTAAAATGTTTAATAAGTAAAGAGGTTTGGGAATCCTGGGTGGCTCAGTCAGTTGAACTTCTGATTTTCGCTCAGGTCATGATCTCAGGGTGCTGGGATAGAGCCCAGTGTATAGGGCTTTGCACTCATTGGGGAGTCTGCTTCTCCCTCTTCCTCTGCCCCTCTCCCCAGTTGCATACATGTACTCAAATGTATCTTTTGAATAAATAAATAAGTTCTACAACGTAATAACAAAAGAGTAGTAGCCCAATAGAAAAGTGGGCAAAGGATGTGAAAGGACATTTTATAGGAAAGAAAGTGTATAAATGTCTTTTAAAGATAGGGGAATATACATCTACCCATCTCTTTACCTACTTGCTGAGCAGACCTTACCCCTGCTTTATTTACTCCATGGCATTTAGTCACCACCTGACACCATGTATATATTTATTTGTTGTTTGTTTGTTTTGTTTACTGTTTGTATGTCCTTCCTAAAATAGAGGCTCCCTGAGAACAGGGGATTTGGTTCCTGGTCTATTCCCAGTTCCTAGAACAGTGTCTGTCACATAATAGGTACTTGATAAATATTTGTTAAATGAATGAATGAATCTTACTAAAAAATGTGAGACATGCGAGTTAAAAGTATCAGGTTTTTTGCTTTTTTTTATATCTAGGAGATGGCAAAAATAAAAGAAAAATTAATAACACACTCTAGGGGTGCGTGTGGGTAAACAGCTACTTTCATGCATTGCTGGTAACCATGTAAATTGTTTCAGTGTCCATAAAGAGAAGGAAGTTAGACCATATTAGCTAAAATTACAAATGTACATATCTTTTCACTGAGTAATACTAGTTCCACATACTTTACAGATATTAAAAGAACTTTAGGGCAGCCCCAGTGGCACAGCGGTTTAGCGCCGCCTGCAGCCCAGGGCGTGATCCTGGAGACCCGGGATCAAGTCCCACGTCGGACTCTCTGCCTGGAGCCTGCTTCTCCCTCTGCCTGTGTCTCTGCCTCTCTCTCTCTCTCTGCATCTCTATGAATAAATAAATAAAAAATCTTTTAAAAAAAGAACTTTATGCAAAGATATTCATTGCAGTACTTGTGATGGCAAAAGAAAAAAGAAAGAAAAAGAAAAAGAACCTAACTATGCATCTGTAGGGGATTGGTTAAATATTGGTTCATCTGTATAAGGACAGAATACAGTCATAACAAAGAGTGAGGACACCCTATATACCAGTATAGGACACTATCCAAGGTAATATTGTTCAATGAAAAAAGAAGTGTGTGGAACAGGGTGTGGTATGTCACCATTTGTATTAAAAGAGAGGGAAGGGGATCCCTGGGTGGCTCAGTGGTTGGGCGCCTGCCCAGGGCCTGATCCATCCTGGAGTCCTGGGGTTGAGTCCCACATCGGGCTCCCTGCATGGAGCCTGCCCCACATAAAATATTTTTAAAAAATAAAATAAAAGAGAGGGGAAAATAAGAATATATGCATGCTTGAATGGATATAAATGTATATTTTTTAAAGATTTTATTTATTTATTCATGAGAGACACAAAGACAGAGAGACAGAGACACAGGCAGAGGGAGAAGCAGGCCATTGCCAAAGTGAATGGAGCATAGGCCATAGCCAAAGTGAAACCACAACTCTGCTGTTATTGAACAAACCTTAATCTCTTGGGGACTCAGCTTCCTCATCTATGAAGAGTTCTAAAATGGAACCTGTCACATAGGGTTGTACACATGCCATGAGCTAATTCATATAAGGTATAGTGCCTGGCACAGAGAAAGAACTCACTTATTGCTAGTTATTGTTACTCATTCCTATAATATTTAACAAATCTCATTAATTAAATGACCCACAGGCATTATTCAGAGACTTTGCTACTTTACTGTTAATTACAGTTATCTTGTTTTGGGTTTTTCAGACACCCCAGATGTCAAGATATATTATACCCTGGATGGCAGCAAACCTGAATTTCTAAAGAAGATTGGTTATGGTGAAAATAATACATTTAAGTATACGAAGCCTATTACTCTGCCTGATGGAAAAATACAAATTAAAGCTGTCGCAGTCTCTAAGTAAGTTAAGAGCATGGTGATGAAAATAATTGGTAATATAATGACATTACATTTTAATTTTATTTGTTTATTCACGTGAGAACAAGTGCTGTATTAGAAGGGCAGTGAAGGAAAAGTTATTTTAATTTCAATATATACCTATAACTTTTGTGTTTTGTCTTTTACTGGGGTATACCATCAAGTGTACAAATCACGAGAGTATAGCTTGATGAGGTGTTCCGTATGTTAACACTGTTTTTCTTTTGAATTCTACATTGGGATTTTGGGAAGGGAGAGCCTTTTCAGGGTTTGACCTTTTCACCTAGCTATGAAGAAAATCCTGTTTTTAGTGGATGGTTCTTTTATTCCACAAGACATGGCCTACAACCACCACCTTCATTCTCTATTTTATTTTGTGTTGACTTAATTGGCCTTCAGGGCTACTGTCATTTTAATTTGTTGGACATTAGCTCCTTTATTCATTTTTTTTTTGGTTCTTTCTTTCCTACTCAGTGATTTTTTTCCAATTTTCAAATATAGAAACAACAGTTAATTTGGCCAACTGTGTATTGTAGAGAGAAAAAAAAAAAGCTTTGCAGGTCTATGTATCTGTGATAGAGGAATTATTCTGCACAGCAGGACAGGTTTAGTAACATTTTTGGGAACACTTTTAAGCCCCAAACCAATACTTTGCTTTGGGCAGATATTAAAAACAAAAACAAAAACAAAAACAAAACAAAACAAAACCTCTCTAGGCTCCCCCTGGTGGTTGAGCTACAGTATGGCTTTTGAGGAGAACAAATTCTCTGCACAGATGCCTGCTTTGGCATTTGAAAATTTTTAAAAAGAATAAGATAATAATGAAATGAAACAAAACAAACCCCTCATTCACATTACTATCCCTTATTACAGATTGGAAAAATGTCTTTTTTTTTTCACTTGACAAACCATTTCTATCAAAATAAAGTCACCTAAATTATTAAAAATTAACCAGCAAAATACTCTGGTGCCTAATGCTGTAAGGTAGGCCCCTTTATAAGTTGCAGGAAGTAGTAAGATGAAGCAATAATTACTGTGTAATTCAGAGGATATAATTTAGTTTTCTTAAGAGTCTAAAATAAGGTCATTCTTTATGCCTCTCACCATCTTGCTCTGTGACCACTTAGTGTCTGTTCTGAAAAGACTGTTAGTATTTCAAGTGTACTCAGCTCAGGGAAAGTATACAAAAATGTTTTTGAGTCTTCAAGACAGAAATATTTGTGATTGTATACACTTGTGATAAATGTATTTAGGGATGCCTGGGTGGCTCAGTGGTTGAGCGTCTGCCTTTGGCTCAGGGCATGATCCCGGAGGTCCAGGATTGAGTCCTACATCGGGCTCCCTGTGGGGAGGGTACTTCTCCCTCTGCCTGTGTCTCTGCCTCTCTCTGTGTGTCTCTCATGAATAAATATAATCTTTAAAATAACGTATTTAAATGCAATGAATTTTCTTTATGGAAATTATACTGCTGCATTCAAACCTCTTTCTAGGCATTTAAGGCAATTAATTTCTTAAGGAGAGGAAAAGGATTTGAAATAAGAGTGTTAACAATTAAAGGCCACTAACAGGTTAAGAGGAAAGATTATGTTTGTGAAGTTTTGAGGGATACAGGAAAATATTTATGCTATAACTGGAAACAAGTTAGGATATAAGAGTGCACTATAGTATTTTGGGTTTTTTGTTTTTAAATTTTATTTATTCATGAGAGACACAGAGAAAGAGCCAGAAACATAAGCAGAGGGAGAGGCGGGCTCCCTGCAGGGAGCCCCATGCAGGACTCGATCCCAGGACTCCAGGATCACAACCTGAGCCAAAGGCAGATACTCAATCACTGAGCCACCCAGTATCCCTACACTGTAGTATTTTGATACTGTTTAAAAATGTGTCAGGACAGACCTGGAGAAGAGTAATGACCAGAGCTGGCCAGGAGTGAGTGAATGGTGGGCAAGGAGTGCTCACTGCATGGAGCGAGCTGGCTCCTCCTTCCCTGAGCCCTCTGCCAGGGACCCTATGGATGTCTTTGTTATGAAGAAGTCAGGTTGGGGGGCAGCCCCAGTCTCTTTCTCTCCCAGCTCAGTTTCCAAAAGGTACTGATATGTAATTCTTCTCTACTATAAGCTTTCTATCTGGTTTGGGTCTCACAATTAAGTCATTTGAAAACAAACCCAATTTTAGCATACATTGCCTCCGGTGATTCAATCATGGTTTGTAGTAGTGTTTATGTTAATAATTTTTTTAGCTTCCAGAACTTAACAGTGAGCTTTGCCCTTGTGATAAATAATCATAAATAATAAAGAATCTCCAAAATTATCATGTAACCAGTGCTTCTCAACCGTTGGCTGCTGAATCAGTTGGCTATTGCTATATAACAAACCACCCTGACAGTGTCTTAAAAAGAACATTTATTTGCTCGTTATTCTGTGGATCAGCATTTTGTATGTATTCAGCCAGGTTCTTGTTCTGCTGATCTTTCCCGAGGTCCCTGACCTGACTGCAGTCATGTTTTGGCTCACTTTGAGACTAAGAAAGCTTGAATCACATTTCTGGTGATTGGTGCTGGCAGTTGGCTCAACCTTGGGACTCCAGCTGGGTAACTGGAGTTTTTTCATTCAGTTCCAAAAGCTGTAAGAGAAAGGGCAAGCTCGAATGCACATAAAAACTGGACTGGAAAAACTTCCAGTCTCTGCTTGTATCATATTTGTTAATGTTTCACTGGCCAAAGCAAGTCACTGGGCAACACCCAAGTCAATGTGTGAGGGGATTCAGCAGGGGCACAGGGGCACCAGAGACTACTATTGTACCAATCTACCACGGGTTCCTATCAGATTCACCCAGGGAGCTTTGTAGAATCTCCATGCTCAGGTCACACATTCCAGACCAACTAAATAACAATATCTTGGGATGAGACCCAAGCATCAGTATTTTTAAAGTTTCCTGATGATTCCAGTATGCAAGCAAGGGTGGCAGCTGACACATTAATGGAAAAAAAAAAAAAAAAAAAGATGTGTCTGTTTAAAGAGATTTGACCATTGCCACTTTTTTGAAATTTATTTTTATTAAAATATGATATTCTGTAATGAAAGAAAGGACACTGTCGTATGTGTGCTTTCATGTGTCCAAATGTATGAACATGAATTTTCACATCAGAGCATGGTCAGTAAGGGAGGGGCTGGGATCTCGGGAACATTTTAGCAAGTCAGGATGGGTGTCAGAATTGTTTTGTTTAAGCTTAGTGCGGGGCTTGAACTCACAACCCTGAGGTCAAGACCTAAAATGAGATTAAGAATTGGATACTTGGGCAGCCTGGGTGGCTCAGTGGTTTAGCACCGCTTTCCGCCCAGGGCGTGATCCTATGATCGAGTCCCGCGTCGAGCTCCCTGCACGGAGACTGCTTCTCCCTCTGCCTGTGTCTCTGCCTCTCTCTCTGTGTGTCTCTCATGAATAAATAAATAAAATCTTTAAAAGAGAAATTGAATGCTTAACCAACTGAGCCCCTCAGCCACCCCAGGTGTTGGGTTTTGATGGTCCATATTGATGGTCTAGTCCAGGGTCTGTAAACTTTCTGACATCTGTCTTGCTTCTTTAAAAGCCACCTTCATGGTCAGGAACTTCCTATCTTTGATGTCATAGTATTTTGATAATGAACTTGTGTGGTTCTCCCTTATTTGTCAATTACTTTATGTGTCAAGATAGATTGAGCTGGGCTGAGGTAAAAGTTGTCTCAAATTGAAGGTAGGTAGTTGGGGGAGTCAGAGTCCCCTGAGAACAATCATTTTTCTTCCGTGAGGGACTTTACAGTTTTACAATAATGGTTAATGCAGTAAATTGATTGACAGGTTACCAGGGCATCCATCTGCAGCCCCAAGCAGTATGTAGTGTGTGGAGAAGAGATCCAGATGTCACCTCCATGAGCATCAACAGAAGCAAGAAGAGCACTGCTTTGAGAGGGGTAGTTTCGAGTGTGGGACAGAGGATGGAGTTCATTGGCTTTCAGATCTGGACTTTAATCCCAGTTCTCTTGCTCCTCTTTGAATAAAAGGAACTTATTAATTTGAATAAGTTCTGATTCTCAGTTTCCTCATTCATTAAATTAGATTAATAAAATTTAGTTGACAGTCATTGTGAATATCAGAGGTAGTAGCTGTTATGTTTGTTGTTTGTTGTCATTCAAATTCTTAACAAAGGGGCTAACAGGTTGCTGTTGTGTGACCCAACACAAAGGGCATGCTTGTATTTTAAAAACTATACCTGTGTAAGTAGAGCCTCAGGATGGGGGGTGGGTGTTGGGAGTGGTAATAGCCTGATTCTTTATCAAGTGGTATGGCTGGCAGTGCAGTTATTCAAGACAGCTGTCTTTGAAGTGGATCCCTCTTTGAAGTGGATACCTTGGCAATCAGAGCTTAAGTCAGGCACTTGTATTACAAAAAAGAGAAAACCCAACTATCAGGGCTGACACTAAAGAGACTTATATGTGAATGTTCATAGCGGCATTATTCGTAACAACCCCTAACTGGAAAAAATCCAAATGACCATCAACTGGGCTGGATATACAAACTGTGATGCATTCATAAAATGGAATACCGCTCACTAATAAAAATAAACCACTGATACATGCAACTACATAGATGAACGTCAGAAAAAAATAAGTAAAAGAAGCCAGACCTGTTAGGTTACATTTGTAAGGTTAAATTTATTTTAAATGTCTAGTAAAGGTAAAACTATAGAGACAGGAAGCAGATCAGTGGCTGCCTAGAGTAGGAGTTGGTAGCAAGGAGTGACATCAAATAGGCACCAGGGAATTTTTTGGGGTGATGGAAATGTTCTAAAACTAGATAGTGGTGATAGTCACACTATTGTATAAATTTACTGAATATCCTCAAACTATATACTTAAAATAGGTGAATCTTATGTAAATTATACCTCAATAAAGCTGTTTTGAAAAATTGAGAATATAGGTAAGCTGCTGGTACTGAAATGCAATAACCACCGGTTTTTAGTGATGGGTACATCTACATTGCTTTCTCACGGAACTTCTCTTGTATCAGACAGGAACAAGATGAATTGTGAAATGTTATGGATAAATTGAAAAAAATGTTAGTATGTAAGGAATAATAGTTAAAATCTGGGCAGCCCCGGTGGCACAGCAGTTTAGCGCCGCCTGCAGCCTAGGGCGTGATCCTGGAGACCCTGGATGGAGTACCGTGTCAGGCTCTCTGCGTGGTGCCTGCTTCTCCCTCTGCCTGTGTCTCTGCCTCATTCTCTCTCTCTCTCTGAATAAATAAATAAATAAATCTTAAAAAAATAGTTAAAATCTGCCAGAACAGATGCTACCTTTAGCTGGGATAATGAAAATTCTCTTGACTCACATGGGATGGTATATAGGTATTTATTTGTTTTAGGGTAGTTTGAGATTTAAAGTATGAAATCCTGTGAGTGGGACATATAATCTCCAAAAATGGTTCTGCAATAAACCATGCCTACCAGTGCAGACCCTCTGCTTGAAACTGGACTGGCCCTATGACTTCCGTTTGACCAATAAAATGCTTCAGGAATGATAACTAAGGCTAGATCAAAAGAAGTATTGTAGCCTCTGCTCTCATCTCTTGGAAGACAAACCTGGGGGAAACCAGCCATCATGTAGGAAGTCTGATTTCCCTGAGCCTTCCATTCTGTGAGGAAGCCCAAGCTCACCACAGGAAGAGGGAGGGAGAAAGAAACACAGACAGATGGACAAACAGACTGAGAAAGATGAGTTGCGAGCCTCCAGCTGTTCCAGTCATCCCAGCCCAGGTTCTAAATATGAGGGAAGCAAACATTTTAGACATGCAGCTGAGTTAATGTTTCAGCTGACTCCAGTCCAGCTGACATTTGACCATGTGAGAGATGGCAAATAAGAGCTGCCCAGCTGAGCGTGGTTAACCCACAGATTTGTTTTTGAAGCCAGTATGCTTTGAGTGCTTTGTTGGCAATATATAATCTGAGAATAAGGTAAGGAAAGACTTTAGAAGTTCTATTTTGATTTCTCCAATTTAAATTACAATAACCTTAGTAGCAAGACCAAGGAACTTTATAGAGCTATCTGAATTGCTAGTTATCTTTTCTTTGAAGCTTTATGTAACACAGAGACTTTTTCCATTTTGAATAATTTTCAGGGACTGCAGACAGAGTGGCATTGTAACGAAGGTGTTTCAGGTGGGCTGCGAACCACCAAATACAGTCTCTTCAGACAACCATGTTGAAAATGGTCTCAAAGATTCTTCAAAGCAGGTACGTAATGAAACTGTAACACTTTCAGATAGTCACCACATTCTTGGTTCCTTCTTTCTTAGTGATCCCATTTTCTCTTGGGAGAAAGAGAACCTGTACTCACAGGTCCTTATAATTGAGGTCAGTAGCAACTATTGCAAAGTGATTTCCCATCTGTTGGTCAGTCCATCCTACACAGGTTCCATCCTGCCCATTAGAAATTCCTGCCCAGCATCATGGCCCATGCTCCAGTGTCTTCAGTGACTCATGTTTACCTATTGAAGAAGTGGAAACCATTCGCCTGACATTCCAAGTGATCAGTTTCTGTCTCAGTCATCCTTTCTTGCTCTGACTTCCCTGTATACTACTCCAGCCAAACTACTATGTATGCAGTGTTCTATCACTACTCCCCTAGCATCCAGGACTTCCACTTTTATATAGTGTTTTCACTATTTGATTACTTTGCTCATCATCTATCTTCCCCATGCAGTGTAAGTTCCAAGGTGGCAGAGAGCATGTCTGCTATACTTAACTGCCTTGCATAGAGGTGGGATGGGAAGAGCAGTGACTAGTAGAAACCCTCTGTGACCATAGCCATCTATTATGCTGAAATATTTATCCCTGAAAAGCTCAAAGCCTTGCCTCTCCGGAGGGTGAACTGGACTTTTCTACAAGGGTGTTTGAAACTTCAGTCCCTGGGCTGTGGCCATCAGTGAAATAGATCCAAGGGCTAGAGAATGGGATAGCTTCATGGTAAGGCAATCAACCAAAAAAGTGGCAGTCATGGAGGTCTTGATGGGGATAATCAGCAGTTTATGAGGGGATCCTTTCAGCCCAAGGACGGACCAGAGCCCAGAGAGGTGATTGTGAGATCAGAGCAGTGGGGTGCAGGCATGGTGTGGGGCTCAAGTATGATCAGGGTAGGGATCTGCCATGGGCAGGGGCATACAACAGAGGCTAAGCCTACATGCATCAGCAGGTGCTCAGGCTTGAATTAGGCATAAGGGCCTGAGTCTATGGGGGGAGAGAGTCCCTGGAAAAGAGTATAAGGACTATGTATGTGCAGGCAGTGTACTTAAGTCATATCTTGGTCTGATCCCACCCTTTATTTGCCTCCTGGATCTGCTGCTCCCTTTGTTATTCCCTAGACTCCCATTATTGTAACATTCTGCCTTCATGTCCTGCTGCCTGCTGCTGGTCTTGGCTACTTGACTGGTGGAGCCTTCCAACCAGACATATTGTCACCCAAGCAGCCCAGGTACAAAGTTGTGTGTTTCCAGAGTAAGATGCAACAGAGGTCATTTTGTAAAAACTACTGTTAACCCTTTCAAGTAAGATGTGTACCCTTTGACATTGTCTCTACCTTGCAACTTTTCATTTTAACATTGCCAATGGGTGTAATCAAGTGATTGACATGCAATCTTTTCATTCCTAGGAATTAAAAAATGGATTTGTTGGATCAAAACTATGGAAGAAATGTAAGAATGCTGAAAATAAACAGGATTGGAATGTTAACCTTAGAAAGTCTGCAGGTATGACATCGCAGGATGAAGATAAGGTTTAGTATTCTAAACCACCAAATGGGTTTACTGCTCATGTTCTTGTCTGCAGAAGGGCCGGAATAAAAAACACTGGAATAGAAGAGTAAGTTATAATTTGAGTCTTGGTGCTGTCCTTGCTAACAGCTTAAGATCAAGAGGGATAATCAAGGAGTCAAACAAAGTGAGATTTGTTGAGTCATTGCAGTGAGGGAGACCACACTGCAGAGGAACTGGGCATCACACCAAACAAAGGAAAAGACAAGGTTATAGGATTTGGGGGACAGGTGGAATTTGGGTGAAATTTAAATGAAAATTTAAATTTTCAGTTTTGACCAACTCGAAGCAAAGCAGGCCTGCGTGTGAAGTGGCACCATCGAGTATGGAGTGTAAAGGGATCTAGGGTTTTGTTTATCTTGGAAACTACAAAAATAAAAGTGGAATGTTATGTTCAGAGACCATTTTCTGATGCTGTGCACCAGGGTTAGAAATTGAAACTGCTCCTCTGTGTCAAAGTGACTTATGTCCTCCAGGCAAGAGTTGGATGTTTCATTCTTGCTGATATGATTTCAATCAGCAAAGTTTCTGATAACCTGGTTTTAGAGAACAGGTTTCTTAGCAAGTAAGAAACAATAGCCACTCAAGTGGGGCTGTTCTGACATTTTACGGCTATAATGTGTCCTTGGGAGAAATCATGTTTCCTGCTCACCTTGCAATTGGATTTATCTATTTTCTCAACCTGATGTGGAGTGTTGTAGAATGTAGCAGGACAGATTTTTATTTTCTCAGTCTGTGCTAATTTTTTCTTTCCCAGTGCTAGTTCACTGAATGGGGGCTTCTTCATATAGTTGCTACATCTAATTAAAGATGTGATGACAGTGGTCCCTGAAAAGGTTTCCAACTCTGAAGACATTTGCATGATTACATGTATAATTACAGATGTTCACAGAGTGATTTTTTTTTAATAATTGTAGACTTTGAGGTAGGTGAAAGAACTGACTCTAAAACGTGGAAAGATCTTCGCTTCTCAGAGAGTCCACTGGAAATCCCACCTTACCATGAAGAATCAGGTTCTAGACCACCCACCTGGCAGTCTCAGGTAACTTCTAAAGAAAATCTTTACAGTATTGAATACTTCCTATATTCTTAATCTTCCCATGAAATACTTTTAAGGCAGTGTTCCCTAGCCTTTTCACCATGTGCCAGGCACTGTTTCCGTGCTGGGAATACTGTGTTGGACAAGAAAGTCACTGGTGTTCAGGAACTTACATTTTATTGGGGTGAGGGCAGGCAGATAAGAAACATGTAAATCATCGATCAAACATTTTAAAATAGTAGGTGCCTGGGTTGCTCAGTTGTTTAAGTATTTGCTCAGAGTCCTGGGTTCAAGCCCTGTGTTGAACTCCCTGTTTAGCAGGAAGCCTACTTCTCCCTTTCCCTCTAATTCTCCCCCTGGCCCATTTCCTCTTTTTCTCTCTCTTTCTCTCTCAAATAAATAAATAAATCTTTAAAATAAATAAATAAATAAGTAAAATTAACCCCCAAGGGATTTTAATGGTCAGGCATGATTGAAAATCACAGATGCTGGGATCTTGAGGCCTTTTGCAAGGAGTTTCAATTTTTCTTCTAATTGTAAAGGGAATCTATTTGGAAGGTAAAACATGATATCATTTGCACTTAAAATTTTTCTCTTTGGCCACAGTATGGAGTTTAAGCAGTAGAGGAATAAAAGGGGAATATCATTTAGAAGGTTTTTGCTCTGGGAGAGATGATGGTGGCTTGTAGTAAGATTGTAACAGTGGTGATGGTAGGAGGTAGTTGGAATCCAGGTATGTTTTGGAGGAAGAACCACCAGGTTTGGGAAAAGATCAGATGGATGATAAAGGACAGGGAGGAGCTAAAGATGACTCTGGTTCTGGCCTGAGCATCTGGAAATGATGGTGCTATTAATTGAGATGGGGAAGATTAGGGAGGAGCAGGTATGAAAGGACTCATAAGACCTCCAGATGGAGGCCTTAAGTACTGTTCTGTGCAAGTTCAAACTCAGGGAAGAGGTCAGGACCATAGATATATATATTTAGAAATATTCAATATATAGAAGGTATTTAAAGCTTGGGTCTAAATGAGATTACTTGTTGACAGTGTACACATGAAGAGTAGATGGCGCAAGACAAAATCCTCTGACTTAGAGATTGAACAGACGAGGAAGAGCCTGAGAAGTAGGGAGAAAAACAAAGGGGAAGAAAGGGTGCCATAGAAGCCAAAAGAAGAAAGAGTTTCAAGGAGAAGTAGACACCTATGTCAAATGTTACTAAGGATTCAAATTAGACAAGGACAGCAACTTGCCCATTGGATTTGACAAGATGAAGGTGATTTATAATCTAAATAAAAACCATGTCAATACATAATTACTATATAGCACAAAGATTCTGTTACACTAGTTGCCTACTACAATTATTCTAGCACTCTGATTTTTCAGTGTTTATAAAATTCAGTTTAGACTTTTGGCATCTAAGGGCAACCCAGGAGCCCTTGCTCTGATTCTGAGCCCTAAGTAGAGGGTACCTGGAATTCCATTTTTTATCCAACCATAACTGCTTCTTGTTGTACCCGTGATCCCAAAGCTGCTCACACTTCTTATCAATTATAAAAAAACATGACTCCCAAACCTGGTTGCACATCAGAATCATCTAGAGGAACATATATATATATACCCTCCTAGCTAAACCTTCCTGCAATCATTTTAGATAACCTGATCCCAAAAGCCTGGGATGGAGTTCATGCAAGATTTTGGTGATCAGCTCAGTCTAAGCATCCCTGGCCTAGAGACCAACCATCCTCATCCCAAGGTCAAATCTTTTTCTTCATTTCCAGCCTCTAGTGCTGTAGTGTAACTCAGTGTGACCTCCTGGGTACTTCTGTCTTCCTACTGACTGTATTTCCTGGAGGGTCACAAAGCCCAGGCCAGAGGACCAGACCTAGTAAGGCCTTCCTGGAAACCTCAGTAAACAAAAAGACAACCACGCTGCAATAGAAGATTGCCCTTTGCAGTCTTCTGGAAGAATAATTCCCTGGTTACCAAATGGACTAATGATCATTCAACTATGAGCAGTGTTCACCAGTGTAGCCAGGGTAGTATATAAGAGTATTGATTTTGAGGGATACCTGGGTGGTGCAGCGGTTTAGCGCCTGCCTTTGGCCCAGGGTGCGATCCTGGAGACCCGGGATCGAATCCCACATCGGGCTCTCGGTGCATGGAGCCTGCTTCTCCCTCTGCCTATATCTCTGCCTCTCTCTCTCTCTCTGTGTGACTATCATAAATAAATAAAAATTAAAAAAAAAGAGTATTGATTTTGAGATAAAAAAACATTGTTTCAAAGAATGAATAATATATACCAAATTGCAATCCTAACTATTTTCAGAAAACAGTCTCATGTGACCATAATAATCTGTAATATGTCCAAAAGAGTGATTTTCTTATTTGGATTACCTTAGCCACCTAGTTATTTAAGAGTTGTTTCAAAAGGAAAGATATAGTAAGACAATATGTAAAGATTCTAAGATTTAGAATCCCCCAAAACTAGGAACATGCAGACACATTGGGGCAATTTTATTAGAATGCAGAGGACCAAGGGCGCCAGAAAAGGACCACAAAACATTGATCTTCCACTCTTTTTATTCCTTTTGGTAAGAGATTCTTGTCAATATTCCTGCTCGATCCCATCTGAAGCATCAGCTTTAACTTTTTTTAACTTCAGCAAGCATCAGAATTTTTTTTTTAAGCATCAGAATTAATGATACTGGTGGGTATTACAGCATGTCAATAACCACCAGCAATACAAGACGTCTCTGAACTAAGCTTCTGACCTGGGGGTACCATCAGAGGTGAGGCAGCAGAGTAAATGCATGGTATAGCCTGGGTGGAAGATAAATTACAGCTGATACCGGGCTTTAGTTTCAGGGCATAAGAGTTGGGGGTTCTGTGGCAATGTGGAATGTCCGTCAGCTGAATAGGTTATCTTGCCTCAGCTCCAGCCAACTATTGACAAGAAGCCTACAGGCACAGTGTTGCCACATCTCATGATTTTGCAAGGAATGCCAGAAAACTGCATCTTTACGTGTTATAAACTAATTTTAAATGTTAACAATTAAATCAAATTTTGATACACTGTGTGAACTAATATATATGAGCCAAATGAAACTCAATATCTGGCCAGATTTGGCCAGTAGACCACCACTTTGTGACATCTGGTCTGTGCCATGTTAGATCTGACACAAAAGCAACTCAAAACCTCTGATTGTTCCCGTTGCCAGCAACATAAATTCTGAAGTCCTAAGCTCAGCCCACAGGTATTGTGGTGGACAGGGACCCTACTGGGGTAGGTAGGCTTGGGTGCGTGACACAGTTCACATACTGTTGATGTGACCTCAAGCAAGTGAGCCTTAGCATCTTAAATGGGGATTAGCATATGCTAGCACCCTTAGCATATAAATGGAGATTATATGTGCTTCTTGGTATGAGGCACTGAAATGGACACAGTATCATTTCTCTGGTACTTGTGCCAAAATGCATGACTGAATCCTGTCATGAAGAAACATCAGATAAAACCAAATTGAAGGAGATTCTACAAATTAAATGACCCACTACTCTTCAAACATGTCAAAATCATGAAAGATATAGACAGACTGAGGAACAATTCCAGATTAAAGGAGACAAGAAAAGAGACTTGACAACAAAAGGCCGTGTGTGACATTGGACTGGATCCTAGACCAGGAAAAATATATATAGTGTGAACATCATTGGCATGAACAATCACACTTGAATATAGATCCTGGGATTAGATCATAGTATTGTGTCGCCGTTAACTTTTCTGGTTTCAATAATTGCATCATTGTCTAAGAGGACATGATTGTTCTTAGGACATGCCTACTGAAGTATATAGGGGCAGAAGGGCATTGTAACTGCTGCTCATTCTCACATGATTCAGAGAGAGAGAGAAAAGGAAAGTGCATTGGGCACAATATTAACATGAAGAACTGGTCAAGCTGGGTATGCTGAAGTTATTTGTACTCTCCCTACAACTTTCTGTAAGTTCAAAATTATATCAAAAGAAACTATTACAAAAAATTTCGTAAATGAGGATATTACCCACCTCATGAGGTCATTGTGAAATGTCAAGCAGATAATGCCTACATCATGTCATTTTAGCAGTGTCAGACCCTCCCTCAATGATAGCCCCTCCCCTCCATGTTCCTTTTCCATCTACTCAGACCTCTAAACCATATCACACCTCTGAGCCCCAGCATAGGCCAAGCACTGCCCTACCACCATGCCTTTGCAAATGGGTTTCCTCTGCTTGGGATTGCCATTGTCTTGTGTCCATTTGACAACCCTTTCTTTACTCTCGGAGGCCCAGCTCAGATGTTAGCACCCTGGGAAACTTTCTCCCCTGGAGCAAATGAATGTGATTATTTCTTCCTCTTGGGGCCCATGGGACTCAACACAAATGCATTATTATACTGAACCCACAGTGTTTCAGCATTTATCAACTCCTAAAGGCTCGGAACTGTGTAATATTTATCTTTGCCCTCCTCCCTGTGTCAAACACAGTGCCTGGTAGAAAGTGAATGCTCAAATAAAAATATATCAAAATGAGTTAAATGTTTTTGGATAACAACAGACAGTTGCTGCATGTGTTTTTTTTAGATAAATCTTTGAGTTTCTTAGGGGTATAATATTTGAGAAAAATGGAGGGCAACTTAGGTTTTTAAATTCTAAACTCCAGTCTGTCTGATGGTAAATTCAGATATCTTTTCTTGTAAACTCTTGTTTTTTTTTTTTAATTTTTATTTATTTATGATAGTCACAGAGAGAGGGGCAGAGACACAGGCAGAGGGAGAAGCAGGCTCCATGCACCAGGAGCCCGATGTGGGACTCAATCCCGGGTCTCCAGGATTGCGCCCCGGGCCAAAGGCAGGCGCCAAACCGCTGCGCCACCCAGGGATCCCGTAAACTCTTGTTTTTAATGAAATATACATATCTAATTGTGACAGCACTTTAATTTTTTTAAGGTTGGGTATTAGAGAAAACATTACTTATGACTGTCATCATGGTCTTTAAAAGATGAGTGCTGGATATGATAAGACAACATGTTAAAATGAATTTTTAATGAAATTTTACTATACCATAGCTTTTACCATCATTTTATATGTATCCTTAATTGTAGTTCCCTAGTTTTGCACACATAACTGGCCAGAAGAGTTTGACAAGCACAGAGATCATGAGAATTCAAAGAAAGACAGACTTTCTCAAGTAAGTATCACATTTTCTTTACTATTTCTTAAATCCTACTGAGACATTGTCAAAACAATTTAAGGATGAGACATAAGAAAGGTGTTTGCTCATCCAACTGGTTTTCATTACATTTTTTAAAAATTTTTAAGGTATATTGACATACAATAAAACCACTTATTTAAAAAATACAGTCAACCCCTATGTATATCACAGCATTATGTATAATAGCCAAGACATGGAGGCAAACTAAGTGTCCATTGATAGACGAATGGATAGGGAAGATGTGGACGTTATACACAGCCATAAAAAGGATGAGGCCATGCCATTTGTGACAACATGGATAAACCCAGAGGGTATTATGCTAAGTGAAATAAATCAGACTGAAAGACAAATACCATATGATTTCACTGATATGTGGAATCTAAAAAACAAAACAGATGCATAAACAAACAGAAGGAGCAGACTTGTGGATACAGTGAACAAACTGATGGTTGCCAGAGGAGAGGGGGTTGGAGGCGGGGGGAATGTAGGAAGAAGAGTGGGAGATACAGGCTTCCAGTTATGGAATGAATAAGCCAAGGAATGAAAGCATAGGGAATCCAGTCAGTAGTAATAACATTGTATGTTAACAGATGATAGAGATACTTGTAGTGAGCATAGCATAACATATAAGGAAGTGAAACACTATGTTGTACAACTGAAACTAATCTAACATTGTGTGTCAAGTAAAAACATTTATTTAAATTCTTCATTTTGGGGCAGCCCTGGTGGCGCAACGGTTTGGCACCGCATGCAGCCTGGGGTGTGATCCTGGAGACCAGGATCGAGTCCCACATCGGTCTCCCTGCGTGGAGCCTGCTTCTCCCTCTGTCTGTGTCTCTGCCCCTCTCTCTCTGTGTCTATGAATAAATAAATAAAATCTTAAAAAAAAATAAATTCTTCATTTTGCAGAAAAGTACAATTGACCTATGCATGTAACCTTGAAACTATCACCATAACCAAGAAAATGAACAAGTCCATCACCTCCAAAAGTTTCCTGCATTGTACCCTTTTGAAATCCCTCCCTTGTGCTCCTCCCTATCCCAATGCGACTATTGATCTGCTTCTTGTCACTATAGCTTAGTTTGCATTTGATTCCACACATAAATGGAATAATTCAGTATGTGCTCTTTTTGGCCAGGCTTCTTTCATTTTCCTGATTATTTTGAGATTCATCCATGTTGCTGTATGTATCAAATGTTTATTTCTTTTTATTGCTGAGTAGTATCTTGTTGAATGATACATCACAATCTGTTTATTTAGTCATCTTTTGATGGACATCTAGGTTGTTTCCAGTTTTGGGCCATTACAGATAAAGCTAGGAACGTTTGTATAGAAGTCATAATATGCACATATAGTTTCATTTTCCTTAAGTACATACCTGAAGTGTAATGCCTAGGTCATATGAAAGGTGTATGTTTATTGCTAAACTGTTTTCCAAAGAAGGTACACCATTTTATATTCCCAGCAGCAGTGTATGAGAATCCCACTTTCTCTACATCTTCACCAATGCTTTAATTTTTATGCTTGTCCATTCTTGTGAGATGATGCTTGTGGATTTCATTTGCATTTCCCTAGTGACTAATGATTTTGAGCATCTTTAAAAGTGCTTTTTTGCCATCCCTATACCTTCTTCAGAAAAGTGCCTGATCAAACATTTTGCCCTTTTTAAAAATTGAGTGCAGTATCTCCTAAATACAGAGTTGAACATGTTCTTATTTATTTTTTATTTTTTTTTATTTATTTTTTTATGATAGTCACAGAGAGAGAGAGAGAGAGAGAGAGGCAGAGACACAGGCAGAGGGAGAAGCAGGCTCCATGCACCAGGAGCCCGACGTGGGATTCGATCCCAGGTCTCCAGGATCGCGCCCTGGGCCAAAGGCAGGCGTCAAACCGCTGCGCCACCCAGGGATCCCTCTTTTTTAATATATATTTTGCAAATATTTTTTCCCAGACTTGGCTTGTTATTTGCTTAGAAAGTTTATTATTTTTTTTTGAAGAGGTAAAGTTTTTAAATTTTGATGAAAAATAAATAAATAAATAAATAAATAAATAAATAAATAAATAAATTTTGATGAAATCCAATTTAAAGTTTTGAGTATCTTTTATACTTAGTGTTTTTTTTTTTTTTGACGTATTTAAGAAGTCTTTCCCAAACCCAAGACATATCCCACTCACAAGATTTTCTTCTGTGTTTTCTTCTGGAAGTTTTATTTTTTATATTTAGGTCTATGATCCATATTTAATTATGGTGTGAGGTTATTCCAGCACCACTTTTTGAAAAGATTGTCCTTTCCTGATTGATTACTTTTGGGATCTTATGGATCTGTTTCTTGACTCTGTATTCTGATCCACTGATGTGTCTATGTTTATTTACTACCACACTGCCCTGATTACCATAGCTTTATAATAAGTCTTGAAACTAGGTAATATCAAATCTCCAACTTTTTTCTTTTTTTTACAAAAATATCTTGGCTATTCTTGGTACTTTGCAGTTTCAAATTAAGTTTATTTTATTTTATGTTAAAGATTTCTTTATTTAAAAAAAAGATTTCTTTATTTATTCATGAGAGACAGAGAGAGAGAGGCAGAGACACAAGCAGAGGGAGAAGCAGACTCTGCCAAGACCCCGATATGGAACTTGATCCCAGATCCCAGGATCACCCCTGAGCTGAAGACAGATGCTCAACTGCTGAACCACCCAGGTGTCCCTCAATTTAAGTTTCAAAATCAGCTTCTCAACAGCTGCAAAATATCTGCTAGAGTGTTGATTTGGATTGCATTTAATTTATAGATTAATTTAAGAAAAATTGATGTTAGTAACAATTTTGAGTCTTTACAGTCCAGAAAAATGGGGTATCTCCTCGTTTGTATAGATCTTCCTTAATTTTTCCAGCAGTGTTGTGTGGTTTTTGGTGCTCAGGTTTTATACACCTTTGTCAAATTGATTTCAAAGTATTTCATATTTTTTTCATGCCGTTGTAAATGGCATTGCTTTTAAAGTGTAAATTTCTGATTATTTATTGCTGGAATATATAATGGATTTTTGTGTAGTGTTCTTATATCCTGGAACTTTACTAGGCTCACTCATTCTTTTGGCTTTTTTGGTAGTCTGTAGAATTATGTATATAGGTGGTTAGGTTACCTACAAATATATATTTTTTAAGTTTATTTATTTAACCCCTACACTCAACATGGGGCTTACACTCACAACCCTGAGATCAAAAGTTGAATGCTCTTTCAACTGAGCTAGCCCTGCACCCCTCTCCTGTAAATAAAGGCAATTATTTTACTTCTTCATTTTCTATAAGGACCTACCTTCCTTCTTTTCTTCCTTCCTTCCCCCCTTCCTTCCTGTATAAACTGATTTACTTAAAAGTTATGAAAAAGCACAATAAGATAGAGATTTTCCTTAGAATTACTAACGCTTTGTTAAAGATCAGGTAAGATTAGAGGGTAAGAAATGGTATTGGGTGGAAAGTGCACCTGACTAGTTCTAAAGCTTTAGATGCCTTAGTTATTACATACTGGGGAATAGTAGGTGGGGGATCAGTAATTAATCTACAAGGAACTCCTACACAACTTAGATCCATCCAGACCTCCCCAATGTCATTCTTCTCTACTCAGGACCCTAAAGCCAACTGGATGGAAACATTACCTATTCATATATTCTTCCCTCCCCTAAGGTGCTGTGCAAGCCATATATTCTTCCTTCTCTGCAGCTGGAACATATATACAGATCTTTTTTCTTTTTTTTTTTCTTGACTTACTGCCTTGGCCAGAACATCCAGTAAATTTAGAATAGAAGTGATGACAATGGACATTCTTGCCTTTTTCATGAACCTAGGGAGAAAACATTCCATTTCTCAACATTAAGTATGATGTTGTCTGTAGATTTTTTAAAAGATTTTATTTATTTATTCATGAGAGACACACAGAGAGAGAGGCAGAGACACAGGCAGAGGCAGAAGCAGGCTCCTTGCAGGGAGCCTGACATGGGACTCTATCCCAGGTCTCCAGGATCACACTCTGGGTGGAAGGTGGTGCTAAATCTCTGAGCCACCTGGGCTGCTCCGGCTCTAGATTTTTTGTTGACCTTTCAGATTAAGGAAATTTTCTCCTATTCAGACCTTGCTGACAGGTTTTGTTTTTGTTTTTGTTTTTTTTTTTTAAATCAGGACTAGATGTTGGATTTTGTCTATAGTATTTTCTTTGCCTATTAAAGTGATCATATGGTTTTTCTTTTTTTGTTCATGTGGTAAATTACAAAGGCTGATTTTCAAATTTTATTTTATTTTAAATATTTTGTTTATTTATTTGAGAGAGAGGGACAGAGAGAGCATGAGCTGGGTGAGGGGCAAAGGGAGAGGGAGAGGGAGAGGGACAAGCAGGCTCCCTGCTGAGCATGGAGCCAGATGCAGGGCTCAATTCCAGGACCCAGAGATCATGACCTGAGCTGAAGTTAGACATTTAACTGACTGAGCCACCCAGGCACCTATGATTTTCAAGTTTTAAATCAACCATGCATTCCTGAGACAAATCTCACCTGAAGTATTATCTATTTTACATGATGTTTAATTTGATTTGCTAAATTATAAAGAACTTTTTGCATATATATGCATGAGGGATATTGGTTTGTAGTTTTCACACCTTATAATGTCTTTGTCTGATTTTAGTATCAGGGTAATTTTGGGTTCACAAAATGAGATGGCAAGTATTCTCTCTCCTTTAATTTTCTGTGTTTGTCTAGAATTTGTATTATTTTTTCCTTAGGTGTTTGGTACACTACTGAAGGTACTGGGGTCCAGAGTTTTCTTTTAAGGAAGATTTTAAACTACATATTGGGACAGCCCAGGTGGCTCAGCGGTTTAGCACCGCCTTCAGTCCAGGGCCTGATCCTGGAGACCCAGGGCTGAGTCCCACGTCGGGCTCCCTGCGTGGAGCCTGCTTCTCCCTCTGCCTGTCTCTGTCTCTCATGAACAAATAAATAAAATCTTAAAAAAAGATAAACTACATATTAAATTTGTTTAATATATAAAAGTCTGTTTAGCTTTATCTCTTTTTTAGTGAACCTTTAGTCTCATTTGCTCTTCTTTTTCTTTTTTTTAAGACTTATTTATTTGAGAGAGAGAGTAAGAGAGCAGGAGCCAGGGGCAGAGGGAGAGAGAATCTGAAGCAGACTCCTCACTGAGGGCGGAGCTGGACACGGGGCTCAACCTCATGACCCTGAGATCAGGACCTGAACTAAACCAATGCACCCCTGCTCTTCTTTTTCTAATTTCTTTAATGTGGAAGATAGAGTCATTCATTTGAAGCTTTTCTTCTTTGTAATATAGATACTTAGAACTCTGCATTTTCCCCTAAGTACTGCATCAGCCCCTATCTTTGCCATGTTGTGTTTTCATTTCATTTCAGTTTTATTTTTTTATTTTTTTAAGTTGACTCCATGCCCAATGTGGGGCTTGAACTCATGACCCTGAGATCAAGAGCTGAATGCTCTACTGACTGAGCCAGCCAGGTGCCCCTGCTTTGTTTTCATTTTAATTCAGAGTAAACTCTCCTTGTTTCTTTTTTGATCCTTGAGTTATTCGAAAGTATTTTATTAAATTTCCACACATTTGGGGATTTTCGTTATATCCTTTGGTATTTATTTCAAATTTAATTCCTTTTTTGATCAGAGTACGTATGTATTGTATGATTTGATTGGTGAATGTTCCATGTACACTTGAAAAGAATGTGCATTTTGCTAGAGTGAGTATTCTGTAAATGTCAATTAGGTTAAGTTGGTTGATGGTACTGTTTATGCTCTATCTTTATTGATTTTTCAGTCTATTGCTTAATCAGTCATTGAGAAATCTATGACTATAATAATGAATTTGTCAACTTATCATTACTTTCTATCGGATTTTGCTTCATGTACTTTTAAGCTCTATTATTATGTATAAACCTTTTGAATTCTTATGTCCTCTTGCTGAGTTGACCTCTTTATCATTATGCAATAACCTTCTTTAACCCTGGTGATCCTCTTTGCTCAGGGTCTATTTTGTCTGTTATTAACATAGCCACCCTGCTTTCTTCTGATTAGTATTTGCATGGTCTAGCTTTTTTCATCCTTTTACTTTTAATCTATTTGTTTTTCAGTTTTTTTTTTTTTTTTTAAGCAACATCTAGTTGGGCTTCATTTTTTAAAAAACTTGACAATTTCTGCATTTTAATTGGGGTGTTAAGAGTATATTTATTCTGATTATTGATATGTTTGAATTTAAATCAACCACCATGCTATTTGCTTTCTATTCATCTTATCTGTTCTTTATTGTCTTTTCTTTTTTTTTTTGCCATCTTTTGGATTAATTGGGTATGTTTTGTGATTCCGTTTTATTTTATATTCTTTGTTAGCTTGTTAGCTATAGCTTTGTTTTTAGTGGCTGCTTTAGGGTTTCTAATACATATTTTTAACTCACCACAGCCTATCCTCAAGTAGGATATGCCACATTGTATATTGCATAAGAACCTTATGATAGTATACTTCCAGGCACCGAGTAACAGTAGCCTTTTTGCTATTGTGGTCACTCATTTTACTTCTACAAATACTATGAACCCCACAATACATTATTACTTTTATATTTATTATACATATACATTATTTACTTTTATTTGATATAATCAATTACTTTTGAGGCCCTTTTATTGTGATAAAATATACATGAATAACTTAAAATTTTAATGCTTTTTTAAGTATACAATTCACTGGCATTCACAGTGTTGTGCAACCATCACCACCATCCATTTTCAGAACTTTTTTGTCATTCCAAACAAATGACAAAAGTCATTTGAGTTCCCCTTAAGCAATAACTCCTTTACCCAGTCCTTCCAGACCCTGGTAACCTCTGTCCTCCTTTCTGTTTCTATGAATTTGCCTTTTCTAGTTACCTTACATAAGTAGAATCAGACAATATTTATCCTTTTGTGTCAGACTTACTTCACTTAGGATAATATTTTCAAAGTTCATCATGTTGTAGTATGTGCCAGAATTTCATTCCATATTAAAGGTAAAAAATATTCCATTATGTATATACCGCAATTTGTCCACTCATCTTGTTTCCTTGTGTTGTTACCACCTTTTACTATTGTGATTAATGCTGCTATGAACATCAGTGTACAAGTATCTGAGGCCCTGATTTCAATTCTTTTGGGTATTTACCTGGGACTGGAATTCCAATTTTGTAGTAATTCTGTGTCCCAACTTTTTGAGGAACTACCAAACTGTTTCCCAAGGAACTGCATCATTTTACTTCCCACCAGAAGTGCACAGGGTGTCAATTTCTCCACCAATACTTGTTATTTTCTGTTTTTCTCATAGCTATCCTAATAGATATAAAGTGGAATTTCATCATGGTTTTGATTTGTATTTTCCTAATGACAAGTGATGTTGAACATTTTTTTCATGTGTTTCTTGGCCATTTGTATATCTTCTTTGGTCAAGGAGTAGTCTTCCAGCATGTCAGGCAAGATTTGTTGCTTAGACTGAGCTCACAGGTCAGGAAGGAAGTCAGAAAATTGCAGTTAATGTAAGCTTCACTGGAATTTGGGAGGCTCATCCTCACACATGCCAAATCCAACGTGATAGGATGAGTCAGAAGTGGGATCAAGGCTGCTGATAAACTTCTTAGATTTTTACCTGACTTCTTAATGTGAACCCATCAGAACATGGCCAATCAGGAATCTATTTTGTTGTAGGTGTGCGCAGTGCCTGGCCCCTCGTCCATCTGACCCCTTTGCTCGCTTCTGTCAAGAATGTGGCTCTCCTGTCCCACCCATATTTGGCTGTCGTCTCCCACCCCCAGAAGGAGCTCAGGTGAGCAGCAAAATCCATAAAAACTTCTTTCATTGGTTTATCTAATCTTCAGTAGGAGCAGTAGCATAGTGCCTGGCACACATGATCCATAATCATAAATACTTGTTGAAAAAATTACTGGCAGATTAATTTCTTACTGTCCAGTGTCTTACTTAAGAAATGAAAACCCTAAAAGTTGCCTTAATTTCCATTTAGGAATGGAAAACCTTGTTTGCAATGCTATTTCTTTTGGTGGCCTTGCAGAAACATAGGCTGAGAAGGATACTAAAACCTTTTGTTTCACTGATGTGTGCATGGATAAATATATATTTCTTAAATGATATTTAGTTTATAACCTGGGTATGGTAACATTTCTATTCCAGAAATAAATAGGAGTACTAATAATAAGTCTGTATATACATAAGATATATAATTTTGTCCAAAGATGCTGTTTGTATAACCTATAGATTGATCAGTTAAAAATTTTTGGCTGTTTAGTGTAGATAATAATTGGTATTATCCTACCAGTGAGTTTATAGTTAGAAAAGATACTCAGCTAAAAATCAAAACCTTCACCAAAATGTGTTCTCTTTTATGCACTTGAAATTTGTGGAGTTTTTTGGAGTAGGATTTACAAAATGAAATAAAAGGATCTGTGATGAGCAGCTGGGGTGGCTCAGCGGTTTAGCGCCACCTTCGGCCCAGGGCATGATCATGGAGACCTGGGATTGAGTCCCACCTCGGGCTCCCTGCATGGAAGCCTGCTTCTCCCTCTGCCTGTGTCTCTGCCTCTCTCTCCCTGTGTCTCTCATGAATAAATAAATAAAATCTTTAAAAAAAATAAAAAGATAGTTATTAAGAAAAAGCCACTAATTTTGGTGAATTTAAGTCTAGGGCTCTAGAATCGAGTTAAATCTTCAAGTAAAGGGTCAGAATCTAAATGGATATTTTTAAAATAATTTGTTCCATTTTATTGCTCAAGACTGTTGAAGTTAATTTACTATATCACAGTTTGAACTTCATGAAGAAGATGCTACAGAAGATAAAATATGAACCATCAATTTGGGCAAATTTATTTTTTACTTGCCTGAAAACAGATTTTCAAAGTTTTTATTTATTTATTATTTTAGAGAGAGATAGAGAGCGTGAGCTTGGAGTAGGGAGAGGGAGATAGAGAATTCCAGGCCAACTCTGTGCTAAGCACAGAGCCCAATGCAGAACTCGATCCTATACCCCTGAGTCAAAACCAAGAGTTGGTTGCTCAACCAACTGTGCCACCCAGCACCTCCAAAAACAGATTTTCAGAACTTTCTTTTTTCTTCAGGAAGAAAGTTATCAGAGCTTATAAATATTTCAAATGACAAATTTTAAAACGTCTATATTGCCCCCCAAATAATATTTAATATGCTATAATATATAAACAGCTTTGTAATTTAGATTCTTTATTGGCTACTTATTGTGTCCTGCTCTCAGCTGGGTTTCTGGGATTCAAAGGGGTGGAGCCTACTTACTCCTAGGCTCCTAGATCCAAGATACTCAGAGTCTCATTAGACAGATGCAGAGGTGCACCTTACAGATCCAAATCCACCCTTCATCAAATCTACCCTTGATTGCCTTGCCTTGGGTACTGGGCAACAGGTACTGGAGCTGGACCCATCAAACATTTCTCCTGTGCCAGCTAGCTAGGTGTTAATTTTTGTTCATAGAGGAACATTGCTGCTGCAGGGACACTGCAGGCTTGGCTTTTCTTTCTGGTTCTGGTGTGCTTTTCTCTCTCTTTGCTCTGACGGTGCTCAGCTAACCTGCAAGAACCAGTTGTGCTAAACCCCATTGCATTTTGGTGGCATCCCATGAACAACTTCCCAGTGTATTTCACTGGCACCCCAGCCAGCTTCCAGATGGTCCTCAGGCATCCCAGTGGGCAGTTGGCCAGCAAACTTCAGCAGCATACCTGCACGTGGCTTCTAGTGTATTCTATCAGCTCCCTGGAGGGAGATTTCCAAACAGGTTTTATTGTACCCAGTGTTTTGCTTTTTTTTTCTTTAAGATTTTATTTATTTATTTATCACACACACACACACACACACACACACACACACACAGGCAGAGGAAGAAGCAGGCTCCATGCAGGGAGCCAGACGTGGGACTCCAGGATCACGCCCTGGGCTGAAGGTGGTGCTAAACCGCTGAGCCACCTGGGCTGCCCCAGTTTTTTGCTTTTTGTTTGCCACTTTGGGTCTGTGTCACCCCAGTTGAATTTCTCTGCCATCCAATGGGCACTAGCCATACTCCCATTTCTTCACATTTATCTTTTCTGTTATATATATCTCATCTGTATATGTTATAAACTGAAAATGCAATGTTGTATGTCATTTAAAGATGAGAAAAAATGGTTATGTACCCATTTATATTTACTCACATATTTATCAAATCTGGGCTCTCATTTCCTCATTTCTTTCCCATGAACTCAGGTTATATCTACATCACTTATTTTCAGCCTGGCAGACTTCATTACTAAAGGCACATCTGCTAGCCATTTCTCTCTGTCTTTGTTTACCTGAGAATATTTATTTTGCATTCTCTTTTGAAGGACAGTTTTACTAGATGTAGATTTCTTGCTTGACAGTTGTCTTTAAAGATTTACTTATTTGGGCACCTGGGTGGCTCAGTCAGTTGGGTATCTACTTTTGGCTCGTGTCATGATCCCAGGTCTTGGGGTCAAGTCCCACATTGGGCTCCCTCTGGGGAGCCTGCTTCTCCCTCTCCTACTCTCCCTGCTCGTGCCCTTTCTCTATCAAATAAATAAATAAAACATATTTTTAAAAATATACATATTTATTTTAGAGAGAGAACAGAGGAGGGACAGAGGGAGCAGGAGGAGGGTTGAACATTCAAGGTTTAGACTGTTTTCAAATCTGCCTCAGTGTTTACTTTATGCTGAACTCCTTGCACCAGCCAGAAATGTGTGGTTAGTGCCCCCTCTGGTTTATACTATACATATGCATATCCTCCAGGCAACTAAAGGTGTGTGGGAAGCTTATCAAGCCCCCTATATTTGACTTACCTCCTGGAACTCCCTGTTAAATCCTTGGCTGGTTGCCTCCAACAGGATGAGGATTTCAGGCTACCGGAGCCACTGGCCTTCCCTGTTTGCTTGCCATTCAGATTGTCATCTTAACAGTGCTCCAAATCAAGTGAGCCCTGCCCCGCAGCAGCTATGAAGCTGCTGGTTTCACAGCTTGTCCTGCCCCAGAGAAGCAACCACACTGACAGAGCTAGAGGATGGGAACAGCCACAAGCAGGAACCACATAGAGTTGTAGTCGTCTTCTTCTTCTTCTTCTTCTTCTTCTTCTTCTTCTTCTTCTTCTTCTTCTTCTTTTAGATTTTATTTATTTAAGAAAGAGAGTGACTGTGCGAGAGAGCGCAGTAGGGTGAGGGGCAGAGGGAGAAGCAAGGAGCCCTATGTGGGGCTCAGTCCCAGGACCTCTCATCATGAGTCCCACTGAGCCAAAGGCAGACACTTAACCTGAGCCACCCAGGCACCCGACTTGTAGTGTTCTTGTATGAAATTCACCACTTTTCAGTTTATTGTGCACCTTTGGTGACTTTCAGAATCTGGAATAGTTGTTGAATCTGAAATGACAGTTTTATCCAACTTTATAATTGCTTTGTGGAGAGAGGATTTGTGGGCTTCCTGACTCCATTGTACAGTGAGATATTTTTTCTTTTTTTCTTATACCTCTGTTTTCCACAATTAACACGTTTTTACTCACAATAGAAAAAAATAAGAATAAAGATTATTACTTTGAGCCATTTTTTACAAAAGCAAATTAAATCAAAGATCTACTTATACCTCAGTTTTTGCCTCCGAAGACAAACGTCTTTCTTTGTCCAGATGGGCTTATGTGCAGAGTGTGGAAGCATGGTGCCCACGAACACTCCCATCTGTGTGGTGTGTGAGGCCTCCCTTACCTTGCAGCTGCAGCCACAGGCCAGCTTCCACTTGAAGGTAATGAAATGTGATTCTGTAAAAATATGAATAAAATATATAGAAACTGATATGTAAGCAGTTAAATGCTACCGAAGCTGGTGGAGTTGGTGAACAATTGATAAGCTAGTATCAGTGAATACTAAAATCCACTCTAATTTTTGGAAAGGTATGCTGCCCAAGAGTTTTACTGCCAAAGGATCTATAATTGTTAAGAGAGATACATAGACACGTGTTTCCTGAATGGATTTGGAGGGCAAAATGCATACAGCTAACTTAGATTTTTTTTTACCTTATATATTTAAACTTGAACATTGCAATTAGTATTGCAGTTAAGAACTTTTAATCTTGTCCTTAAAGTTGCTTTATGCTGTTATTTGCCTTTGATTGTGGGAATCTGTTATGTAGAAAAGAATGATTATAGCTAGTCCCGTGGATGAAATATTTAAGTATACAAAAAAATGAAGAAAAAGAAAAAGTTAAGTATCATCATCATATACATTCAAAAAACTTTGCTAGACAATATCATACCATAAAAATATTTTTGGTAGAATCATTAAATGTACAACTGTGCAATCTTTTCTTGACTTTTCAATTTATAGTCCCAGTCACTTCCCCTTTAATCTCAAGCAAATGTCACAATAGGATAAAATAGATTAAATAAGGAGAATTTGAAGCATTAAAAAGCAAGAGTTTTTAGTAATAAGGGGAATGCATAGATTTAATGTACAATTGGAACTGTAACACTCCTAAAATGACTTTGTGGATTCCCATACAGGAAAAGGTGTTGAAGTTTATGAGAGAAAGGAGAAGTCCTCTTTTTCTTCCACCTCCAAGCTTCCCTTCAATCTGAAAGGTTTTTTTTTTAAGTATTCTAAGCAATGTTGGCCTTCAGAAATGAGATTTTGAAGAACTGGCTGGGTCAAGGTCAGGTAGATGAAAATTTACTAATCTTTTTGTTAGATGGGTAGAATAGGGAGTGGCATGAGCCTGAGGGATAATCTCTGGATATCCATTTTAGGGTCCCTTGATCAGGGAAGATCGAGGGAAGGGGTCTGAGGAAGGAGTGGTAGCTAGGCCAGGCCTCCAGGACTCTCAGACACTTGGGCCTAGACCGAGGCTGCTGGCATCCCTCACCATGGCACAGCCATGAACCTTCCTTCTGCTTCCCGCTATTTATCTGGATTCTGCCTTACACCTGCAGTGTGAACCCTCAGGTGCTAACGGGATTTTTCAAAGATACCTCTGATTGTGACTTTTCCCCAACATGCTGCTTCCTGGACCACTCTCTAGGCCTCTGTACCCTACATCTGCTGGACTCTGATCCCTGGACCCATTGCCCTGTGCCTGCCTACACTTGCAGTGGTGGAGGTGGCACTCATGGTGGGTGGGTGGGGGCACAGAGGAAGAATTTACTAACTCTTATCAGGGGCTGGGGCCAGGGATAGCTTTGAAGATGAAGTGTCACCTGGTGGATATTGTGGGAGGCACAAGGATTTGCCAGATGGGGAAGGGATGGGACAAAGATTAAGTTTCTCATGTGTATATGTGGGACGTGGGGGCGAGAGAGTGTTCCAGGAAGATGTACAAAGACTAGAAACTGAGGTTGTGCTTCAAAACTTTGAAGGACTTTGGTTTTGCTGAGCAGCAGAAATGCTGGAGGTGCTGGAAGTTGTGCAAGATGGCTCCTTCTTTACCGTACTTAACAGCTCCGATTTCTCCCATTGCACTCTGAAGGGTTGAAAACAGGGACAGGATTTAATCAGACCTGATTTTTTATTTTTTATTTATTTTTTATTTTTTTAAATATTTTTTTTAATTTTTATTTATTTATGACAGTCACAGAGAGAGAGAGAGAGGCAGAGACACAGGCAGAGGGAGAAGCAGGCTCCATGCACCGGAAGCCCGACGTGGGATTCGATCCCGGGTCTCCAGGATCGCGCCCTGGGCCAAAGGCAGGCGCCAAACCGCTGTGCCACCCAGGGATCCCAGACCTGATTTTTTATAGAGACTTTTATCACTACAACATCTGATCTTAAAGGGGAATGCCTCATTTTTCTTTATAGCCAGACAATCAGTATTGCTGCTTCTATTCACAGAAGGACAACTGTTTGGAAACGCTGGGCTGAGAATCTTTATCCTAGTGGCTTTTCCAGGTCTTACAAGGGCAAAGATTTTTAGATAACATTCTCACTCAGAGAACCACCAATGAAGTCAGTGGAAATACCTGTTGTCCACAGAAGCCAACAGCCTTACCTTCCCCAATGTACCAGCAGGGCCTACTGAAGACTTTCCTAGCTATTTCTATGTTGGTCTTCATCTCACTCCATGGAGTACACAGAGCACCATCCATCCTCTTCCTACCAACAGTCCACTGGTGCAGACTTATCCTCTGTTGATTTATTTTATTTTTTTAAGAGTTTATTTATTCATGAGAGACAGAGGCAGAGACATAGGCAGAGGAAGAAGCAGGCTTCTCATAGGGAGCCTGATGCAGTACTTGATCCCAGAAGCCCGGGATCATGCCCTGAGCCAAAGACAGACGCTCAGTCACTGAGCCACCCAGGCATCCCTCTTCTGTTGATTTAAAGGCCTTGTCAACACTGGGGAATATATATCAGATATATCTCTTTTTTGCTGGCAGGATTAGAAACTATAGTAGCAGAAGTTTCTCCATTTACTCACTAGTACAGGTGCCTGTATTTCAGAAGAGAGGATTTTGTACTTTAAAATATTCTCTGAAAAAAAAAATATTCTCTGATTTTTTTTATATTCTCTGATTTTTGTTAACAAGTGAAATAGTCTAAATATATACAAAGAAGTGCATCATTTCCCCACCCACCTCTATTTCTATTCTCCTGAAATAACTGATGATAGTGAATACCCTTCTATGTGTTTTTCTGGATGCACAGAAACATCCATATGTATTCACACATTTAGATTTGATTTTGTTCTGTTTTCTTTATTTTTTTTAAGATTTATTTATTTAAGAGAGAGAGTGCACATGCATGTGCACATAAGTGGAGGGGAGGAGCAGAGGGAGAGGGAGAGAGGGAATCTTAAGTAGATGACCTGTAGAGGGTGGAGCCTGAGGCAGGGCTTGATCTCATGTCCCCGAGATCATGACCCAAGCTGAAACAAAAAGTCAGATGCTCAACAGACTGAGCCACCCAGATGCCTCAAGTTTTGTTTTGTTTTGTTTGTTAAACAGATGTATCCCACTGGCCATTTTTAAAGTTGAAAATTAATTTGATCTCTCATTTCACCACAACACATGGGCTCTCCTTTACCAAGAGATCATCAATTTCCTTTGGGCTCTAACTAGCACATATAGTATATCTCCAGATCTCTAGTCATATTGGGTTCCTAGAATCTGAGAGCCTTAGAGCTGGAATCCTCTTGAAGTCATTCCTGAAAAAGATCTGATAATTCACATGGATGGGGCATTTACCTCCTTATAAGATCTCCCACCTCTCACAACAATGATATGGTGCTAAAGCCAGTATAACCAGAGCTCTGCATCAAGCAGAAAGTTAGCTTGGTAACTTACAAAATCCACTTTGAGATGAAGTTTGCAATGACCTATGACATTCTCCCTCACTTAATTTCATCAAAGCTTATCATTTGGGAGATTAGAAAATTGTTCTCATCTCCCAACTACTTTGTAAGGAAAAATTATATCCCAGTAACTAAGTTGGGTCCACTAAATTGCTTAGAACTATTCAACTAGACCCATCACAAATTGATGAGGTAGCAAATGAGGGTATTGACCCTCTTATTTTTTTTTATTTTTTATTTTGAAAGATATTATCTACTTATTTTAGAGAGAGCTCTCTAGAGAGTGGATGAGGTGGGGGCAGAGGGAGAAGCAGACTCTCCACTGAGCAAGGAGCCTGATGGGGCCAGATTCCAGGACCCCAGGATCACAACCTGAACCACAGACAGTTGCTCCATTGACTGAGCCACTCAGATGCCTGAGGGTATTGATTCTTAAAAAGGGGTCCTCGGCACAGATGTTTAGCATTCTCTTTAAGGTAGTCTGATAGGGACCTAGATCCCAAGTCATCTATGAGCGTAGTGATTAAGATATAAAATTCTTTCTATCTGTGGGTCATGGTCTTCAAGGAAGTGAGCCATGACATGGTGTCAAAAAGTCACCAACAAAACCATTAGCAACACCTCTTGGCCAAGAAGGCTATGTTTATTGAACCTGAAGCTATAAGGTAGTCTGCCACTTTGACTGTCTTAATAGTATCTTGGAAGAGAGAAGGCAGGGAAAGGTATTTACAAGATTTTAGTGCTGCCCTTGGGTGCAGCAGATTTTTTAAAAAGAGAGTTTGACAAGAGTGAACCCCACAGGGTGGCAATGTGTCCCTGTGGGTTCACTGGTTGTAATGAATGTACCATCCTGGTGTGGGATGTTAGTAGTGGGGAGGTTGTGTATGTGTGGGAACAGGAACTAAATATATGAGAAATCCCTGTAATTTCTGCTCAATTTCAATATAATCCTAAAATTGCTCTAAGAAATGAAGTTTATTAGTTAAAAAAATTTAAAAGGGAATTTGCAAGGCAGGATTGGGATAGGGTAGAGTTTGGATCAGGCAAAGTTATGCCATGCTAATTTTAAAAATAGTTTATTTAAATAAAAATGTTAACAGTTTATTTAAATAAAAATTTTAGCCACTGGGTGGCTCAGTCGTTTAAGCATGTGACTCTTGATTTTGGCTCAGATCATGATCTCAGGGTTATGAGATCCAGCCCCACATCAGGCTCTGGCTGGGTGTGGAGTCTGCTTAAGATTCTCTCTCTCCCTCTGCCCCCACCCCTGCTCACTCCCTCTCTTGAAATAAATAAATAAATAGATAGATAGATAAATAAATAAATAAATAAATAAATAAATAAGTTTTAATATACATGTACATAGTGAAATGATTACTACAGTTGAGCTAATTAATATATCCATCTTTGTTTACTGGAAATTTGCAGGGAGTAGATTTTAGATGTTCTCACTGTACACACACACACACACACACACACACACAGAAATGTTAACCATGTGGGGATATACTAATTTTGGATTGTGGGACCTATCAGAGTGAGCGTCCTGAGGTAAGCTGTTGGACTTAATAAGTAAGCAATATTATTGGTCTACAGTCTTTCCAGAATATTTCCTACATCAACGGCTTTATTATTTTTTTAAATTTTATTTATTTATTCATGAGAGACAGAGAGAGAGAGACAGAGCCATGCAGGGAGCCCAATGTGGGACTTGATCCTGGGACCCCAGGATCACGCCCGAGCTGAAGGCAGGCACTAAACCACTGAGCCACCCAGGGATCCCCCAGCTTTATTATTTTTGTTTGATATCAGTATTTTTTTTTTTTAACACAGGGACAGGGAATTTGATTCACTTCTCAATGAGTGTCTGAGTGTCACCAGATCTTTTCTGAGTCTTTAGGAAGACCACAACCCTAAATCTCACAGAAAAGCTCTGGCAATTGCAGATTATGCTACAGAGACTTTAAGGAACTTTGAAGAATGCAGGAACCAGGGATTGTCAGGACCCACTGAGATCAAGTCTCTTGTCCTCTGCCATTTTGAATAGCAGTTAGTCGGCCATTTGCACGTTAGAAGATCTTGGAATTGCAAGAACTTGGGGGCTTCTGCTAGAGTGAAATTAACCAACCTTGGAAAGTCTGGGAACTTCATAGCCTACTTAGTGGCATTGGAACTAAAACCCTACAAGCTGGACTTTCTCTTGATCATCATCTTTGCCTGTATAGCTTCAGAACACATGATGTTAGTGTCAGAACACCTGGAAAACATAGGCACTGGAGTAGAAAGGAACCTTTGAGTGTCACTGATCATTGATAGTTTAAGGGGATAGTATCCTGATAGTGCAGAGTAGTCCAGCCACTTGACAGGTACTAGCAAACCTCTGATAGCTGAACTCTAGTTAGACTATTTTAATCTTTTTTCCCTTCTTCTTTTTTCCTTCTTTTCCTCCTTCCTTCCCTCCTTCCTCTTATCCTCGATTTCCTAACTTGGAAAGCTGCACTTAACCATTCATTTTTCTAAGACAGTCTTTTCATCTTTGCATTTCTGGGTGAGAAACTACAGAGCAAACCTAAACTCATTAACATGAAGTCCCATGGGCTGTTTACAAGATTACTCATAAACACATAGTTAAGCTTTTGCTAGTCTTGGGCTTTTCTGTTGATTGTTCGAGCCATGAGATGGAGAGTGGGAATGCTATCATGTTTCCCACATTGTGGGGAGCGGGGGACACAAAAAACTCATACAAAATTGATGCAGAATTTTCTGTTTGCCTTCCTGAGGCCAAATGAATACCCATTTTCAGTTCTATTTGGGTTTTGTTGCTTTTAAAACGATTTTCCGGGCAGCCCTGGTGGCCCAGTGGTTTAGCGCCACCTTCAGCCTGGGGTGTGATCCTGGAGACCCACCGGCTCCCTGCATGGAGCCTGCTTCTCCCTCTGCCTGTGTCTCTGCCTCTCTCTCTCTCTCTCTCTCTCTCTCTCTCTCTCTCTCTCTGTGTGTGTGTGTGTGTGTGTCTGTCATGAATAAATAAATAAAATCTTAAAAAAAACAAAGATTTTCCTTTGTCTGACACTCTTTTGTTGTAGTAATTCCTAAGCCAATCCAATATCAAGGTCTGGGTGTTAAAATAGGGTCCATAGCTGGCTGATTGAAAAGACTGCTCGATGATTTCTTTGCACAGTTATTGGCTTAGAGAAAAATGTGTTTCTTATTCTTTGTTTCCAAGGAGAAAGTAGTCTGCCACACCTGTGGCACAGGGAATCCAGCTCACTTGAAATACTGTGTCACCTGTGAGGGGGCCCTGCCTTCATCACAGCAGGTAGGTAGACCACATGGACCAGACCTATACTTGGTGGCTGCTGAATGTCCAGTGTCAAATAATGAAGAAATGTAATTTGCAGAGGAGGAAAGAAGTGAGAGGTTGGAGAGAGACACAGAAAGCAACATTTCTAAATCTGGAGAGGACTTTATATATTCACCAACACAAAATTGTTTTCAAAGTCTTAACTCTAGGGGGGATTCTATAAAATCAGCAATTTCTTACAATATCATTTAATAACTTTGCATGGAAAGCTGGTAACAGCTGGTGGAGAAGTGGACCCTCTCATATTTCATTCATGGTCAAGTATGTCTTTACTCACTGTGCCATGTTGTTTTTTGAAATTGAGACAGTAGTGGATATATTCTTAAGTTGATTTTACTACTCATCAGGGATGTAGTTGTTTCTGGGTCTCACCTATCAGCAGAATGGTTTCAGGAACAATTACAAAATTGATTTTTCAGGATTTGATTTGTCTTTGAATGGTGTATCAGGGTTTGGATGTCACAATGAGAGTATATATAATTAAAGTGCCGTAGAATTAACAATGCATATTCAGTCTGATACCTATGTCTATTCTTTACTTAGCAGCATTAATATGAATGGAATAAAATAACTTTTCTTTCTTTAAAGCAATGCTGTTTAAAAAAATCCACTTGGACAGTAGGTGCATTTTTTTTTAAGATTTCATTGATTTATTTATTTTTGAGAGGTTGGGCATGAACAGGGGGAGGGAGAAGGTGAGGGAAAGAGTTTCAAGAAGACTCTGCACTAAGCATAGAGCCTGATGCAGGGCCTGATCTCACAACCCTGTGATCGTGACCTCGCTATAATCAAGAGGTGGATGCTTAACTGACTGAACTGCCCGTGTGCCCTGAACAATAGATGCATTTAAATAAAAGATCTGAAGGCTTTATATTTAGAAACCCAGGTCAGCAAGTTTTATATCAAAACCCTGTTGTAGCAGGAGGATACATTTGAAATTTAAGTCTGAAGCAAAAGTGTGCAAAGCATTTATCTCTTGATTTGCCCTAAGGAGTCTCTCGCTAATTGCACAGAAATAGGATAAGGGTAAGTATATACAAACAGAGATCTTCATTCTATCTTTCTGGATAGATGTCTGTTTTAGAATAACAGAACAGTCCCTCGAGTAAAACAGGATATAGCTAGGCAAAAAAAAGTTGACCAAAATATCAGTCTTGGAGGAAAAATTGTCCTTAGAAAAACATCTTCCCTGGTGACATTCTTAGTTTTGTATGTGGAATATGTGGCAGTTATCAATTGTATCAGTTATTCATTGATTCATTCATTCAGTAACTATTTGCGTGATTCCCATGTGCAAAGGTACAAGGTACTATATTGATGGGGGGAAAATGTGAAGTACAGTCCTTTCTCTTAAAGAAATCGGGATCTGGTGGAAAGCAAGAGAAAGAAGGGAAGCTGGTCTATGGAGCCTGCCCCTATGCTAAGCATCCCTCCATACTTAATTGCCCTGAAGCATCTGAACCCCACCTACAGACCTGTGAAGAGGCTCTTGTATTGAAGAGGTTGCATGGATAAAGGGCAGGCTTTAGAATCAGATTGCCTGAGGTCAAATGTTGGATCTCACCTTCTCCATGCCTCAGTTTCAAACCTCTGTAAAACACAGGTGGTGATGGTGCCCACCTCACAGATCTGTCCTTTGGTTTGATGTGAGGTTAGAGGAGCAGTGCTCGGCACTATGTGTCTACACATAATAGGTGATCACATAGCAGTGATGAATACTCTAATCTTCCTTTATCTGATGAGAAAGTCTCTTCCTAGGCAGTAAGTAGCAGGAGCAGATTCTAATCCAGGCCTACCTAACAAAGTTTCAGAAATTCTCATGACACAATTCTCTCTCTCTCCCCAAAATAAAATTCTTTTCACGTGTCAGGGATGGAAAATAAAAATTCACATTTCCAGGTGGAAACCAGAGCCCTAAAGGAAAGAAGATAAACCTCAATTGTGACACCTTAGGTAGAACTTAGGTCTGCTTACATTCTTTCTTTTATAAATATTGTTGTGGTAAATCAATGAAAGGCTTGCTACCTTTGGTATTAAAGATACTGAGGAATATAAGATGTGTGAGGCATCGACTTGCTGAATGTCTCTTCTTTATATTAATTTATTAGTTGGTGAAGCTCATCATAGTTTTACTACTCTTTGGGGGCAAAAATTCCTTATTTCCAGGGCTTGCATTGATTTGGGGCTTTTCCCCCCTGGACTCAGAGGGGAATTGCAGAATATAGTATTGATCTGCCTATTGATAAATGCCATTGTGTTCATCAGCCCACGCACAGTGAAGATAAAGCCCCTTCTCTTCCCATTCAGAAAGCGGAGACCATTTCCTGCTCCAAGTATGGTCATAGGAACCGCCGGGAGACTTACTTCTGTGACTCGTGTGAAGCCACGGTGGGTATTTTAAATCTGAGCTTTTTGGTACTGAGGTCTCACCACTACGCTAGAGAGAGCCAGGCTCCTCCTCTTCCCCCACCTTGCAGAAATCACTTCTTGGGATTTGAATATTAGCACCTATTTACCTAAGAATCTGGAGACAGAGATAATTCTCTTAAATTGGGAAGGCTCTCATTGCTATTTTGCTTTGCATTTCTTTGAGGTTAAAGTTTTTCAAGCATTTGTTGACTCTTGACAGTTCTTTTATGGATCATCTACTTGTTTTTTTAAAAAAGAAGTTTTATTTATTTTAGTGAGAAAGAGAGAGAGAAAACATGAGAGTCAGGAGAGGGGCAGAGGGAGAGGGAATCCTCAAGCAGACTCCCTACTGAGTGTGGAGCCCAACATGGGGTTCGATCCCAGGACCCTAAGATTATGATCTGAGCTGAAACAAAGAGCCAGATGCTTAACCCACTGAGCTGCCCAGGCACCCCTTACCTTTTCAATGAAACACTGAAAGTCATTTATTTGATCGTTGCATGTAAATAATACAACAGTTTTCATGTGAAGTGTTAAACTCCCTTCTCATCCCAGGCTCACAGAGCCAACCCCAGAAGCAGTTACTGTTACCTACCATGTAAGTGTTCTTTGAGCCATCCAGTGTGTTAATAAGTAAACTAGTAGTTTCATACAAACGCTGATCCTGTTCTTTTCACCTAGAACCGTACCTCGTTAATAACCTCATTCTTAGTGCTCCATAATATACCACCGTGTATATGTATGTGTGTACTATGATACATTTGGGCCATCCCCTATTGCTGGACATTTAGGTTGTTTCCAGTTATTTTCTCTAAGACCACAATCCTGCAGGGAATGGTCTTAAATATACCTCTTTGTGTACTTGTCCATATGTAGAATAAGTTCTAGAAGGTAGACTTGCAGAGTCAGGGGTATAGGCGTATGTTATTTTGGTGGCTGGTGATCGTATGGTATGAGAATAATTTACGTGGGAAAATTAGGACTCTAATATTTATGAAAGTGTAAAAATTTTTTCTGTCCTCTAGCTGGGCATTTCTGCTTGCTATTCTGTTTGCCCTAAATGTGGGGCCAGCAATCACCCATCTGCCCGATTCTGTGGTTCCTGTGGTATTTATGTAAAGTCCTTGGGAAGACTTAGCCTGGACAATAGCCTGGATCTAGCTGCTGGAGAACTTGGCCCTTTTGCTGAGGTGAGGCCTGCACTGTAGTAAGCACTGGTGCCAGGGAAAGACCTTAAAACCCTGAATTTGTTTACTCTGCCTTGTGGATCAAACCTGGGGAAAGAGAGCCAAAACACATAGACCTTTCACTTGGATTCTCGATGAGATGTGTACATAAATTCGATCAATTTAGGTTTTAAACACTTGAGTGATTTCTTCAGAATCCAAAGATTGATCTATAGTAGACTGAGATCTAATTGCATTTGCAAGACTAATAATATAAATAATGTAAATCAATATAATGTCACGAGGGAGAATTGGATTTAAAATACATGATACAAACATACTTCTCGTGAATTTCATATGTGGCTTACCAAGAACTTTGCTCCTGATCTTTTATATTTTAGAAAACTTGTATCAGGCGTAATAAATTGTTTTTGCCATTTATAACAACAGCGCACAGTTTAAGGAAAATCTTACAGGGTTATTTTCAGAAGGACTTAATCTCTAACCAGCTTGGTATTAGCCTTTTATAAATTTCTCTAAGCTACATAAAGGCTTTTCAGGTTTCTTTTTTAGTTGTTCATTAGAAGAATTTGAAGATTTATAGTTATTAAAGAGGATGCACATGTACTCAGCAGCTGTGCATTCATTTTTAGGGGGCTTATAGCCCTTCTTAACCCAGACTGAGATTTATGGATCCTGAGACTGCAATAGCCCATGTAGAACCTTTGTGCAAATGAGACAGAGGGTTCTTTCCTCAAGACACTTGACTGCGATTTTTGGAAATTGATCATAATATACTAATTTTGTAAGAAAGACATTTTCTTTCATCTACCAGAAAAATTGTCCTAATGAATTCACAAATATAGAATACCCACCATGTGAATGGTATTCCTTTAGAAGCAGTGATGTTGTGCAGTGTACAACCTATGTAACCTTACATGATGGTCCTCTCAAGTTCCCACATCCAGGCGCAGAAGCATCTCAGAGAAAATATTGGTGACCAGTGGTTGCATGTGGATGAATAGTAAAGTCTATGCTCCATTGGATTGTAGAAGTGTAGATTTCTTTCAGGCCTCAGGCAGCAAGACAGAGAATATCAGTTCAGTTGATTAGCTGAATTTGAGATAGTAAATGTCTGAGCAGATGAGGCTGGCTTTATGGATCAGACTGGGAGTTGCTGGGAGAGACAGAAGCAAGGAAGGTGAGGCAAGGGCTGAAAACCTCTTTTTAATTCAAAGTGCAGTTTCCTGGGGATATTTTTACTTCGATAGAATTCTTTTCTATAAGTAATATGAAGAATTAATTAAATTATATTCCAGTATTTTATGTTTTCTGCCTTGGTTATAGCCCCAATCTGCCTGGCAGTCCCCAAGGGTTCCTTTATCCAGACCTAATCCTGGGACTTGGAAGAACGTGAGCACACAGACTACTGGACTGTTCTACCCATCTGGCACTCTGCTAGCCAAAAAGGAACTGGAAATGGCTTCTCAGAAGCAGAGGCAGGAGAAAATGAGTGACCATAAACCTCTCCTCACAGCCGTCAGCCCAGGAAGAGGTGAGGGAAAAGGTATACATTCTTGTCAGGGGGTATCTCCCTCTTTCTTTGAAAGAAAATTGCATTTTTTCTTCCTTTAGATTTATTTCTATACAGAAGAAGTAAATTCCACTGTTTTTCTTTAGGTAATTTTTCCTTTGTATTATATAGCTCTTAAACTTTTACTATTCTGATGTTTTTATTTTTAAAAAAATTTTAGGGGCACCTGGGTGGCTCAGGGATTGAGTGTCTCTCAGGGCATGATCCCAGGGTCCTGGGATCAAGTCTCACATTGGGCTCCCTGCAGGGAGCCTGCTTCTCCCTCTGTCTCTCCAACCTCTCTCTGGGTGTCTCTCATGAATAAATAAATAAAATCTTTAAAAATAAAAATAAAAAATTTTTAAAGATTTTATTTATTTCAGAGAGTGGGAAGGGGCAGAGAGAGAAAGAGGGAGAATTCTCAAGCTCCCCACTTGAAAGAGAGACTCCCCACTGAACATAGAGTCTGATGTGGGGCTCCATTCCAGGACCCTGAGATCATGACCTGAGCCAAAAGCAAGAGTTGGCTGCTTAACCAGCTGAGCCACCCAGGTGCCCCAGGACTCTGATGTTTTGACTCATAGCTCCATTGTCTAGTCCATACATCAAATGGCATGTATGGATTGCTACTTTTACAGTAGCAATGTTGTTAGTCTGTGTCATTATAGCTATCTGCCATTATCTTTTTTTTTTTACCTTTCTAAATTCACACAACAAAATTCACCATTTTAACCATTTTAAAGTGTACAATTCAGTGATATTTAGTATATTAGGAGCAGTACAGAAGCATCATGACTCTACATCCAGAACATTTTCATTACTCCAAAAGTAGACCCAGTATTCCTTTTGCAATCACTCCCCACATCTCCTCTCCCAGATGCCTGGCAACTGCGAATCTACTTTCTGTTTTTATGGATTTGCCTGCTCTAGACATTTCCTATATGTTTATCTCTTGCACATGAGAGACCAGAAATCCAGAGTTGTGCAAAATCTCTCAAGTGTTAACTGGTAGCAATGAATGAATTCAAATGTGTTTCAAGCCCTGTGCAGACCTGCGGAGGGGCACAAGGGAGTTTTCTGGAGTGATAGAAGTGTCATATTGATCAGGGTATATACACTTGCTGAAACTCAATCTGTACACTTAAAAGTTATATCTCAATATAGTTAATTTTATTTGTTAAAAGATTTTGTTTATTTATTATCTGAGAGAGAGAGGAAGAGATGGCAATAGCATGAGTGGTGGAGGAGAAGCAGAGGGAGAGGGAGAAGTAGACTCCCTGTTGAGCAGGGAGCCCTAAGGGCTTGATCCCAGGACTCTGAGATTATGACCTAGGCTGAAGGAAGACATTTAATTGACTGAGCCACCCAGGCACCCCTCAATATGGTTAATTTTAAAAGAATAAAAGAAAAAGACCCCAAGTGTGGCCATCAAAATATGTTATTTTGAGATTCTGTAATATTCTCTGGTTAATTATGTGTGGAAAAAAAAAACCCTGGGAACCAAAATGGAACTTATTCTGGTACATAGTTGAGTTTCAGTAAGTAAAAATTATCACAAAGTTTGGCAAAGGAAAATAACCTTTCTGAGAATGCATGTTGCACATGAGCATTTTTCTCTCTTGGCTTCAGAAGACTTATCCATGAGGATGGGTTTCTCTTTTTCTTTAGGATACTGGAGAAAACAGTTGGATCATATCTCTGCCCACCTCAGGTCTTATGCTCAGAACAACCCTGAATTCCGGGCCTTGATTGCAGAACCCAGAATGGGAAAGGTGGGTGAGCTCTGGATGGAATTTCCACACCAGAGAGTCCCATGAGATCAGGCTGTAGTTCCCCTCCACTGAATTCATCTGAAACTGCACTTTACTTGGCTCTTTTCCCTTTCCTGTCCTGCTTTCCACCTTGCTTACTGTCCTCCCCTGCAAGCACCGCCTTAACAAATCACCTGCACATGAACCTTGTCTCAGAGTCTGCTTCTGGGCACCTGACCTAAGATAGTAAATTGTGAACATTACATGCTTTTAGAGGCCCCATTCTATGGAGATTCTGGTGCTCAGAGCTAAAACAAAAACAAAAACAAAAACCCAGAAGAATTCAGCCTAGCCAAATATCAATCCAGTCTATATTAGCAGCATTAGTAATCATAAGAGTTGCCATTTCACGATCCCCTCACTATATGCATTGTGTTCATCCATCTCAAGTGCTCATAACAAACCTACAAGGTAGGAATATTACCTTTGCAGCCTTTGCAGCGTTTGTTTGTTTGTTTTAATGGCCACTAATTCATTGGTAGTCTTCCCTTCAAAGAGTAGAGTCACTGTCTTCTCACCTCAAATGTGAATGGGCTTGTGGCAGGCAGTTGGGCTTCGGGACTCCCCAGGTGTGGTCCTGTGAGACTGCACTGCTTCCTCTCTTATTTGGCAAGCTCCCCTCCAAAGCTCCTTCTTGGAGCCCAGCCCCCTGCCATGAGAAGCCTAAGCCCCATGGAATGGCCCAGGTATGAGCACCCCTCTGCAGCCATAACTGAACCCAGTCCTTGAGTCATCCTGGCTCAGGAGCCAGGCAGATGAGTAATGGAAGTCCAGGTCATTCCAGCTTCCAATCATGCAGCTAGCTGTAGCCATTTGAGTTTTCCCAGGTAAGGTGTCAGACACGTGGAGCAAAGACAGTTTATCCCTGCTATGCCCTGTTGGAAACCATGAACTTGATAAAATGGTTGTTGTTTAGTGCTGCTAAGTTTGGGGTGGTTTTTTTATGCTGCAGTAGATAATCAGAACAAGCCTTATTTGGCACCCAGGGAAACTGGCTCAGAGAAGTTTGGTGACCTGCCCAGGACTGCACTGATGGGTCTCGGGGGATTCACAATTTGAAGCGGGTCGGTCAGCCCCTGGGTTCCATGCTCTTTTTCTAGCATTACAAGTCATTATAAAGAGCTCTGTGAGAGGACCTCTTCCATATGTCATGACACTAGAAGGAACCTTTGAAAATCACCGTTTGATCCTCTGCCACCAAATAGGCCAACACTGAAGCTATTTCATTGTCAAGTATTGCTCAGTTTCCTTTGATAATCTATTTTGGTGGTTTATTCATTCTTTGCCCTAATCCAGGCATCTGCAAACTATGGCATGTGGGGCAAATCAGGCCTGCCACCCAGTTTTGTAAATCAAGTTTTATTGGATTTACTTCTTGTCCATAACTGCTTTCGTGCTACAATGGCAATGACCATAAAAAGCCCAAAAAAACTAAGATATTTACTATCTGATCCTTAAAGTATTTGCTGACCTCTGTTTGATAGAAATTTCCTCTTGATACTTACAAAGAAAGCTGCTCAACTGTGATACTTGGCCTTGTTCTGGCCCCTCAGGACACCTGGGTGATGACATCCAGCCAGATGGCTTGATTAAACTTAAAACGTGTCTCTTTAGAGTATTAATTTGGGTCTTTCTTTCTTACCCAGTTTGGCAGTCTCTACTCTTTGATGGGAATGTTAATTTAATTCATTTTCAATTAATGGAATTATAGAGTTGGCTGAATTTGTGTCTACTATTTTGCTGTTTGTACTCTGTTTCACTTAGTTTTTGTTCCTTTGTTTCTTTTTTCTTGCCTTCTTTTGAGTTCATTAAATATTTGATTAATTTTGCAGTTTAACAGCTCAAGATTTCTTGGCTGTTGCTCAGGAAATTAAGTCCCATGAGTGTGTTTGTGAATTCTCTCTAATACTTTTTTAAAAGCTTATCTCTGCTACTGTCCACGAAGATGGCTATGAAGTTAGCATCCGGCTGAATTATATTCAAGTATCAAACAAGGTGAGTAAAACCTTTAGAAGCTGTTCATTTAAAAATTGACTGAACTAGTAAATTGTAGCTTATACTATATCAAAGTGCTTCTGTGTGTAGTCCCAAGAAGGCATAAATTCCAAATGTTATAAAACTTGACTAAAGGCCAGCAATATCATAGAAATAGAATAACTGCACTAAAGCTCAGAGAAGCCAGGTTTCAGGCACATAATGGTGTAATAAGAACAGGAACTACTACCTACTCTGTGGGTCCACTGGTTCTCAGGCTTATTTATGCTCACTGAAGTCTGAGTATAGGTGAAAGACTGACAAAAATCCTTTCCTGTGTGTATTTTCACCTATTTGCCTATAAGAAATAAACCAAACTTTGTGGTTCTGTCTCCCTCAATCTACCCTCTTCTATGGTGACTGGAACTTTGCTACAGTGCCTGTAGTGTGTGACAACATTAATTGATTCATACCAGTAGCTTTAGTTTCATTGGACAAGAAGGCAGAATATATAAAAGAATGAGTGGTTGAGAAGATGGGTACAGAAGGCAAGGAAAAGCATGGGGACTAGCATTTATCAGGCCCCAGCTGTGTGCCCAGCAGGAGGCTAGCAGGGTCTTTAAAATTAGGACAGACACATGAGCACTGCCTGACTTGGAGGCTGGGAAACTGAGGTACACTGACACACGTGAAAGTGTTTTGAAGTCAGGTAAAGCATTAAAGGCCATGTTTTTGGTTGGGTGGCTAGGCAGAATGTGGGTCAGGGAAGTGCTTGAGGAGAAGGGGAGTAAGGCGCATGAGACAAGGCAGGGGGAGGGGCTGAGTGGTCGTATATAAGGTCTAGCTTTAGCCTGATCCATGAGGAGCTCTGAAGGTGCAATCACACCACCAGGTTGTCCCAATTGAGGCAAGAAAAGGAGGGACGTAACCTCTAGAGCAAGATGGCACCCGTCTGTGGAGGCAGTTGGCCAGCTGTGAGGTGTTAGCAGCCAACCCAGAAGCTGGGAGGTGTTGCTAATCAGTTAAGGGAACGGGGTGGGCACTGAGAGCATCTCCAACATGCTATCTATCAGATAGAAGTAGAGTAATAATCCCCAGGTTTAAATGTATTTTTTCTCAGCCTGTGTGTTCTAGTGTTAGGCAGCAGTAGGTGATTCCCTGCGGCAAGAGAGGCAGCCATGTGAGGGTGGCGGCAGGATGTCACACTGTGGGATCAGTCCAGGTGGATAAAGAATTCCAGGTCTGGACTGTGGATCACCTATCCTAATTTTATAGACCTCCATTTTACCTCGTTTCACTTTCACAACATCCCTTTCAGGTCTACTATGTCCACTTTACAGGTGAAGAAACTGAGGTACAGAGAAATTTAGTCACCTTCTTCCAGGGTCACTAAGCTAATGAGTGATAGAACCAGGATTCAAACTCAGTAGCTTGAGCTTCTCCATCTTGCCACCCTAATTCCAAGATATGGAAGGTTTTAAGCAGGAGGAGAATGCTATTACTTATAAATTGTAGAAAGATGACTGGAGCAGCCAACTGGAAGGTAGGCTGGCAGGAACCTGTTGGGAATGGAGTCAGCCTGGTGTCTGAAGAGGGGGGCTGTGGCTATAATGACAGAAAGGAGGGGCCAGACCGAGGAGCCACTTAAAGAGGCATAACACACAGAACATCACAGTGAGGGGAGATAGGTGTCGGGAAGGATGTCTGGGTTTGGTCTTGACTGTGTAAATAGAGCAGCCCTTAATGAAGAGAGGAACAGGTTATCAGGGAGAGTATTTCTTCTGTGGGGACACAGACGCTTCATCATTCATGCTGCTTACACTTTTTTGTTGCCCAGAACCTTTACCTCAGCAAGCCGGTGGATTTCAGCAACCACTTTCTGAGCGGTGTCACCGAGGATGGTGATGGGCCATTTGGCAGCAGGTCCAGCTTGGGTGAGTTATACTCTCACAGTGATTTTAAGATGATAGACCAGAAACACACTGACCTGGCAAGGATGGCAGGCAGTTGCTTGAAACTTGCCAGCCCAACCACGCATCTTACTTTAATGTTCCAGCCATTTTACTCTTCTGGCATCTCTGAAGATAGGAATGAGATTTTTTAATTCTTTCACACGCCTTGGGAAGAGAAGTTGTGGGGAGTGTTCTTTTGGGCCTAAAAACTATAGTCCCCTTATGTTCCCCGCCTTCCCACTCATCCTCTGGCCCTGCCTGGACTGAGATAAGTGGCTCTGGGAGTGCTTGTGAGATGTGATCCCATAGACACTTCTATAAAAGCCATTTTATTCTTCTGACCACTTGAGGGGCATGCTAGTAGGATAGTTCTTTATATGTGGGGAGTGGTAGGGGGGCATCGTCTTAGTCCTTGACTCTATCATTTCAGTAAGTGACTACAGCCAGAGCACCTCAGATACCACTGAAAAAGTCAAGAGGACAAAGAATTTCAAGACCAAAAAATTTCAAGAAAAGGAGCAGCTCACAGTATGTATACTCCTTTGTCCTTTTTAGGCTTGTCTGTTTAATGTTTTACTTTGAGATTTTTTATTTTATTTTACTTTATTTTATTCTATTCTATTCTACTTTTTTTTAAAGTAGGCTCCACACCCAACATGGTGCTTGAACTCACAACCCCGAGATCAAGAGCTGCATGCTCTCCTGACTGAGCCAGCCAGGTGGCCCTACTTTGAGATTTTTTAAATGGAAGAATACTTTTTCATTTTCTGTTCCTTTTTTATAAGTATATTTTTATTTTATGGAATCCTTTAAAATATGTCAAGATTATGAATTAGAATTATTTTAAAGTTCTTATTAGTTTCCCAAATCACCTCTGTTTCTTCTGAGGTCAGTTCTGTCTGTCCATCTTTTTCTGTCATGTTTTTGGTTGGTCTCAAGTATGTGATGATCCTTGGTTGCCAGGTCATGTTGACAAGTGAAGGGCTAGTTTGAGTAGTGCCAGTACCTGCCATGGGTGTTCAGGCTTCAGCTTTCTGAGCGGGTGGATGGGAATCTGTGTGGCAGACCTCCCTGGAGCGTTTTTGGGCAGAGGACAGGAGAAAGCCTTGGGATTCTCTTAGTTGCCTTTCCTCTGGAGGTGGGGATGGTGCTGTGAAGGGCTCTAGGGTGTTTCATTCCTGGATGGAGCTGTCTTCCTTACTCTCTTTCCCTGTGTCTGTCACAGAGGTCTGGACTCTGCCCTTCTTGCACCCAGTTCTCCCCAGTAGAAGACTTTGTTAGGCAAATCATGAACTCTGGAAAAGAGTTATCAGGGTTTAAGCAGAGAGCACAGGAGGGAGAGGAGGACACCACTTAACAACAAAGCCCTTTCATAGAATGCTCATGAATCCAGCCTGTGTCCAACACCAGCCTTCCATGTGGATTAACTGAGCTGCGGGGCTCCCTGGAGGGAACATACCTCTGTCTCTGGCATCTTCAACTGGTTTTTCTTTGCTTTGTTTTCCCTTTCAGTCAGATTCCAGCTACTTTCAGTCTTTGGAATTCTTTTGGAATTCTTCACAATTCCCGATTCACTGCTGGCATCCTTCCAGAGTTTCCCACAGCTGTTAAGAGTTTTGTTTTTCAAAAATATAGACCACGAACATTTTTAACTGGACCTTTGGAGAAAGAGACAGTGGGTACACTTGTTCAGCCCCCACCTTGCCTTTCAGTTGGTTCTCTTCAGCTGCAGTAGGAAGGACAGATGTTCTTAGCAACAAGCCCAAAGCCTAGATCTCCTCTGAGGTGGAGATGGGTACATGTGGGTTCTCTCCTCCACCTTCAATAAAGCCAGACCCACAGTGCACCCCTGGAGGTGCGCACACTGGCAGCCATATGTCACATTTTGAAAATAGAGCATATAATAAATTCTTCAGATTTCTGATGATAGGTGAGAGCTTTTTTCCCCCAGACAAAAGTTGACTACCAATTTACTCATGCTTCATTCAGGTGAACACATTTTCTGAACAGTCATACTTTGACTGATTCTGAACGCTTCATAAAGTGTGCAGAGTAAATTTTAGGATTCACCTGGTTGCTTTTCCTAGGAAAAGCATATATTCATATATATAAATATATATAAATTTATGACTATATATAGTAATAAATAGTAATAAAACTAGTGTGGGGTTTCTGGGGTGGTGAGGTTTCTCATTGCATCCCTGTCTTAATAAATATAAACCATGTCAGTGTAGTATCCTTACCCAAGACAAGGTATGAAAGACCAGCAAGATTTACACTAGCTGGGTTTATTTGTGCTGGTGGCTTTTGAAAACCATGCACATGCGCACATGTACAAGCTCACAGTCACCTGTCCCTGGGGCTCAGAACTCAACCTCGGAGAGGAAATATTTGCCTGGAGTGTTGAGTCCAGGCAGGTGGCACAGTAATATTTTGTGGTGATGGAATTGACCTTGTTGTATAATCCTGCAGCCCAAAAACAGGCTCCTGCTGAAGGAAGTCGGACCCACAGGGGAAGGGAGAGTCTCTGTGATTGAACAGCTGCTGGATGAGGTCAGTGCGACTCCAAAAACAAGTCTCTGAGGATTTCAGCCTCTTGGTGCACCTCTGTCTCTTTCAGATGGGAGTCTTGCTCCGTATTGTGATAACCACGGTGCCATTTCATTTAAAACTGCCTGGAAGTGGAGTTAATGGCCAGTTAAGAACTTGACATTAATGGTTATTGGTTGCCAGTTTTTATAGCAAAGGAAAAAGTCATATGAGCCCAAATAATGTGCATAAAGGTGGACAGAATCCCTGGTGTGTGACCCTGTGTGACCTTCCTGTTTCCTAAAGTAGTCAGGCTCTGGGTGCCTACCCCTCCTGATAAGGGGAACAGGAGTGGCTTGCGGCTCGGTCCGTTACCGGTTAGATCTTGGGTGTCCTGATTCTCTTCTCTTGTGACTGAAAGCACTTTAGTTCCGCCAGGCATGTTTGTTATGCATCGTAGGATGGCAGTTGGATGCTGCTGAGAGCAGGGTTTCGTGGCAAGTTCGTCCTTCTTATGCTGCAGGGAGCAGATCCCAACTGCAGGGATGGCGAAGAGCGACCCGTTATAATCGTGGCTGTCGTGAATAAGCACCATGAAGTGATTCCGGTTCTCGTGCAGAGAGGAGCAGACACCGAGCAGCAGTGGGGCCTGTAAGTAAGATCCAGTGGAAGGAGAGCCCAGGTGTGGTGTCATGGCCAGCGGCCAGCAGCCAGTGGCCACTGTGGGGCTCTGCTGGAGCAGAGTCAATCCACGCACATGCCCCCCTCAATTTGAACCACTCAGGAGCCATTTTAACCCATTTTGACCTTAATAAGAGACTTAACTGCCTCTACTTTCCCCATTTGGGCAAGACACAGAGAGCAGCAGAGACATAGGCAGAGGGAGAAGCAGGCTCCCTGTGGGGAGCCCAATGTAGGACTCGATCCCAGGACCCCGGGATCACTCCCTGAGCTGAAGGCAGATGCCCAACCACTGAGCTACCCAGGTGCCCTAAACAAACTTTTATTTTTTTTTTAAATTTTTATTTTATCTATGATAGTCACACAGAGAGAGAGAGAGAGGCAGAGACACAGGCAGAGGGAGAAGCAGGCTCCATGCACCGGAGCCCAATGTGGGATTCGATCCCGGGTCTCCAGGATCGCGCCCTGGGCCAAAGGCAGGCGCCAAACCACTGCGCCACCCAGGGATCCCCTAAACAAACTTTTAAATGGACTATTGAATTGCCAACGTTATTGTAGCTCTTATAAATGATGATACATTTTGTTAACTCAGGAGTTTACACTGTTGCGGGCCAGGCAGGTCCTACTTTGCCCTTGGGATGGTAAGCAACATTTTCATCATGGTCTGAACTGTTGAGATCACTAAGAGAGGAGTGGGCCCAGTGTATTCCCTGTGGAAATGTACCCATAACGTTACTGCAGAAAGAAAACCTTACCAATTATCTCTGGATGCTCACACACTGGGGATGACCCTGCACATCTGAGTTCCCTACACGATCTGGTGCCTTGGTTTCCCCAGCTGTGAAGCAGGGTGGACAGATCCAGGTCCCCTCCATGCTTCTGTCACTTCCCTAGTGTTGGGGCTGTCCTGCCTTTGGACCTCTCCCAGCTTTGTAGTTCTATTGTTTTTTTGCAAATTATTTTGGAAATGTGGGGTGGGGAGTTCCTTGAGAACAGGCTCCACTTGTTAACCGCTTATATTGGGCCAACCAAGTTGCCAAACTGGAAGTTCTCTGGCGGTGCTGCAGCAGGGCCATCTGACACTGCTACCCCTGACCTATTACTGAGACCAGATTGAGGCCTGTTAGAGATCCCACTGCTGAGTACGTCAAGCTGGCACACGGAGCCAAAGTTAAAGAGCTTTGCTTCTATTTTCCTCTGTCTCAAAATGTCCGCTAGTGTTTTTATCCAAAATATATCCCTGTTAATTTTTCTATGTGCACTTTTATTTTTCTGCCCAACAGGACAGCATATCAGGTAGTCACAATCCCTTTTTTAGTTTTATTTTATAGCAGAATGTTTGGTACATTTGGTGTACATATCTGGTGGCTGGAATTTACTTGCTCACCTTTTCTTAGGGTTCACATTGTCAGCTTCTCCATTTATCCCACACTTGGGTTATCATTATTCATGAAGATAACACCACCTTGTTTTGCATTAAGGTATACTTTATATTTGTACGATTCAGACAAGCTTTTCTTGAAGCACTTTATACATAATGTGTGTGGCTGATACAAAATCTCTTGAGCAGATTTTGACTCACATCTAAATCTTATGTATGTTGTGTCCTAGCCTTATGAAAAGTCCAGCTGAAAGGAAGAAACTACTCTGGACATGGAACAGATTACCTGTTTTTCCTTGGTGTTCCTCAGTTTCCATTCTTCTTTACCATTCTATAAATTTACATTTATCCACATGTGATCTCAATCCATCTTTACTAAGTCTAACTCAGTGGTTGTACCATCTGTCTGAATGGTGTGTAATAGCCCGATGTCACTCCCACTGCATTAGCATAGTTAGCAGAATTTAGCTCACATGGAGGGGGAGAGAGGAAAGCTAGACCAGAAGCCCTCCCTCAAAATAGAGCATAGAGATCTCTTCTTCCATTTTAGTTTATGCCAATAGAAGAAAGCAGATTTTTCCACCAAGAGCCAATTCTGCTAAATCTGCTTTATATTTGTTAGTTCACAGTGTTTAGACCTGGTCAGCCTGGCCTCTACCCCCGGCTGGACCTCTATAGATCTAGGAATATGTCCTCAGGGCTCCATCCATCTTACAGCTGTTGAGGCACAAGCCATCCAGAGATCTGGCTTTCCTACAAAAGAGGTTCAGTGAATTGTTCCTTAGCAAATAAGGATTTAAAAAGTGTCCCCCCACCCTAGCTTGTTTGATTAGTGGAGAGAAGCAGCCTAGGTGGTCTCTATACACAAAACTTCTACACAAGGAAACTCTATAGAAGGAAACTTCCCAGTAGCTTGGCAGGTAGCAGAAAGCCCCACCCTAGTGTTCCTGTTTCCATTGTTTGCATCTTTCCTACCAGAATACACTCATATTCAACACAAAGGGATGGCTAAGGAGAAGTACACATCCTCCACCAAAACTGATTCCTCTTATCAACAGATTTCAGAAACACAGATTCAAAGTCTTACTAGGAGAAGGGCAAAGAGAAGTGCCGTTTGCTTTTGGACAACAGCTACTCTCCTTCACTAGCAATTTCAAACATTTTTTCTTTTAGTTCTGTCCCAGAAGCCAGGAGGGGTGAATGTAACCATCAGTCTGCTTCTTAGGGGTTCAGCTGTGGAGATTTATTCTAGTAGGTAATCCACGATTTACAAAAAGCAGATGTACCTTCATCCAACATGATACTTAGATTTAAGTAGTTTGTTCATTCATAGTAGAGTTTCTTTAAAACACAAATTTGCAGAACACCGCAATGTATCTGCTGTGCAAAATACATTCTAGAAGGTCTGGTAATAGAATACCAAGCTACTCAGAAGAACAGATTCATAGGTATCACCTCTGCTCTGAAGCAGAAGAGGGTGTCCCATCTAGTCCCTTGCCATGTTAGAGTCATGTTGTTTGAGGGGCAGCATACAAAATTAGAGTTGGCAGTCACAATTTGTTACTTCCCCAACTGGACGGTGGTTACACAGAAAATCTACCCTCTCCCCATCTCGTAAATAGAATGTGTACTCTGTTCTCAGTTTAGAGGAAGTTATGAAGGAAGACTATACATCTACTCAGGAGATGTGGTAACCCCGTGAATACATATACGTTCCAATGGCAAATGCCTAATAGAGACCCAAGGAACTTGAGGAGTGAAATGACAAACAGTTGTGCCACCAGGGAGAAAGGAAAGACAAAAGACAAGGAAGGGTTGATGTCACTGGTGTGACTTTGTCCGTGTGCCCATAGCATCCTATATTACAAAAGCTTTAGCAAGATGATTTCCACCCCCCCCCCCCAAAACAGGCTCCAGAATACAGCTCTTCATGAAGCAGCTCTGCTTGGCCTAGCAGGAAGAGAGTGCGTCACTGCTTTACTGAGGTATGTTCCTGACCATTGGGGGAGACGTCTGAGGCCACAGTGGTCCCCTAGCCAACCTGTGATGATTACAGAAGGCCCTAGTTCCTGAACAATTAACCCTGTGAATGGAGGCCACCATGCCACCGTAGGTCCCCAGCACTGAATGGTTTTAAAGGCACAGTGAAAATGTTGCCCTCCCACCAACACACTTGGTTGTAGGACTTTGATGCAGTGGAAGCCAATGTTGGCAATTGAATGTGTTGAAATCACAGAGCCCCTCTAAGGGTCTCAGGGCAGAGCCACCCGTGAGAGTGGGGTCATGGGGGAAGGTCTCTTGGGGACAGGTTTAGGAAGGTGGGGCCAGGAGGCTCCCAGAATGGCCTCTGTGTCATGGAGGAACCAGGCCATCAGGTTCAAGTGCCTGAGTCTTCTATTCATGCCCGTTACCTTGGCAGATGCAATGCAAGCGTCCAAAAGAAGAACACGAATGGCCAGACGGCGTATGACCTGGCTTTGAAAATGGGAGATGATGTCATCACCTCGCTCTTTGCTGCTAAGCTCGGCCTGGACGATTCTTAGACCCAGGGGCCTGCACAGGACCTAATTGCAAGAAACCACCCAGTTCTGGCTGTTCTTTCTTTCTTTCTGAGATGTGTATTTGCAGTTTGAGAATTAAGGTTGAGAGGAACTCATATAAGATTTTTTTTTTCAATATGACACTGTATGCCACCATGTATGCATTTCCCAGTATACTGTGGATAGTAACGAACTTAATGTTTATTTGTTTTTTTAAGGGTTTGTTGCTGCTTATTTTAGAATTTTCTTTTATTTTTCAGGGGGTGCCTGGGTGGCACAGTCAGTTAAGCTGCTGACTCTTGGTTTGGGGTCAGGTTGTGATCTTAGGATCCAGAGATTGAGCCCTGTGTCAAGCTCCACACTCAGTGTAGAGTCTACTTAAAATATTCTCCCTCTCCTCTGCCTCTCTCCCTGCACTCGTCCAAGCGTGTGCACTCTCTCTCTCTCAAATAAATAAGTAAATCTTTAAAAAAAATTTAAAAATAAATTTATTTTTCAGTAGACAATAATTGCACATGGCTCAAAGCTAAAAAGTATGAAATGTTATGTAGTAAAAACTCTGCCATCCTTGTCCCACAGCCACCCACATCCCCTCCTCAGAGGCACCAACGATACCAGTGTCATCTGTGTCTTTCCAGAAATAGTATAGGATTATATAAGCCCATGTATATAATATATGCATCTGTACATATAGGGTATACATAAAATACAAACATAGATAACGGATATATTCTTTGCCCTCTTTAAGACAAGTACTAGCAAACCACACACTTATCCGATGTTTTGCATCTTGTTCTTTTCCTTAATGTATCTCGTAGGTGGTTCCAAATTAGTACCTAAAGATTAAGTTTATTTTAAAAATGTTGTCTCTGATGTTGAGTTCATCAATATTCCTACTGTTGTGGTTTGTTCTTTGGTTGACAAACAAGCTTTGATTTCGCCATCTGCAGGAATGTGTAATTCTGACTTCTTTTTTCAGAGTGTTATTTCAGTCCTCGGGTGATAATGTTGTGATCGTGGAGTCCCTAAATAGATTCTGTTAAAGTATGTTGATAGAATATTTATTAATTTAGAATGATGAATTCAGCACAATAAATAACAGGCTTCATTGAGTGACTGCTGTCATCACTACCTGCCCTTCCTTCCCCGAGTGGGTGACTGTCTGTGAGAGGACAGGCGCAGAGTCACTAGAAGCGAGGCCCCCATGTGGGGTTGTGTGGCACTGGCTGTCCCCTGTCATACTTGGCCATCTGTGTTGGGGGACTGCTACAAGGTAACCAGTGTCCTGAGAAAAACGGGATGGGACCAGGTGGTTTGGTGTCAGAGGTGGTTTGTACTGCATCAGCTCAGCCAGTACAGAATGACCTTCCCCAGACTCCTCTGCCTTCATGGTTTGGTTTAGGGCTGGCTATAGAAGTGACTATACAAGGTTCTAGATTTCAAAGATGGAAGTGAAGCTGCAGCCATCACACTAGGGAGGTGGAGTAGAGCCCAATGCTGCTGTGGCTCACCCCCTGCAGGCTCTGGAATCGATGCTCAAGAGGGAGGAATGGAGGTCAGGACCTCTTTGCCCAGAGCTCAGGGATCAGGGAAGGCCCCATGGACCCACAGGTTCCAGAAACTATCCTCTTGGAACTCTCAGGTAACTTTCAGACATTGAGTGTAGGAAGCACATCTCCACTGTCCTCAGGTTTCCACACTGCCTGGGGAAGGGTCCTGCCCTTGTACCCAAGGGCAAGGTGCACACACCTGACATCTCCTGCCAGGGCTCTTGCCTTTCACTAAAGCCCACCTTTGAGTTTCAATCACACCTCATTTATGGAGTGAACAAATGACTTAAGAGGCAAAAACATAGGTTCAAATCCAGGAACTCTCCGATGAAATCCTATGGGGTTATGTAAAGCATTATATAAACACTGAAGAACGTGTTTTGCGGAAAAGTAAAGTTAAACACATGTTCTAGGCAAGGCCCTCCTGATTTCAAAAGTCATCTTATTTCTTGTCCTTTTTGAAGCTTTATTTTTCTTCTCCTCAGGACCCTGTATCAGGGCTTGAAACAGGAGCAGAACTACCATAGTAAGGGGTAATGAAAGGAACCAACTACATGCAGTCGTAGAAGTGAGTGATGCTGATTGGGGACCTGGAGCTGCTGTAGCTTGGAAGGACCATAGTGGAAAAAAAGGTGGGTGCTGAGTGGGATGAGCAAGGACAAAGTGGAACCTGTAGGCCCCATCTCCCTCCTCCCTCCATATGGTCACGGGTGAAGCTGGTGTCCCTCATCATGGAGCTTGTCCCCAGGCTGGGCTCTCCAGAAGCAGACTGAGACAGCTGGGGATGGGCAATAGAAGAGGACCCATGTTTATGGGGGATCAGCCCTTGTGGAAGGAAGAAGGGGGTGGCACAGCGGGAGAAGTCAACCCAGATGCATCCCGCAGGAAGCCACAGCCAGCTCCCGGGCAGAGTGCTGGAGGGGAGCACTGCCCAGCATCCCCCTGTGCTCAATCACTGGTAGGCAGCTGCCCCAGGAAAGCTGGGACTCCAGGCCAGACAGCTTTCTGAGGCAGATCCTGACGTTGCTAATGGCTGGATCTGTTGCCCTGTCTGCTGCCTGCATGCCCTACTGGTAGTCAGCCCTGAGGGCCCTGTGTCAGCCCTGAGGGCCATGTGTGTACCCTGGAGAAGCACAGCTTCCTGACCCTGGCTGCCAGAAGGAGGAGGTCTGGTGGGAGCTGCCCACATCCACCACCACTGGGGGGCCAGGGAGGGCAGCTGACTTCAGTGACTTCAGAGCCTCCACCCTGCAGGCTCAGCTCAGGACCCGTGATTGTGCCACTGCCTGGGCCCCCCATTGAGTGACAATCAGTTGAGCATCCAGTGGTTGGTGGCTCAGGCCACAGCTACTTGTCTGCATCTAGATTCCCTGCAGACTCCTCCTGAGGCTCAGTGGCAACTCTTGGAGGAGCCATCCTCACTTTGTGGCTTTGTCTCACATTCCCACAAGGCTCCAGTGGTATGGAGTATACCATTCCCTCTGACCATCCAGGTGAATGAATTCCCATGTGTATACTGGCCAGTTGAGTACCTTATATTTTTCTTATTGATTTGGGAGAAATGAATTATATTCTCTAGGATCAGAGTATTTTCTAGAGTCTAAAGCAGCAGTACTGAATAGAAATATGATGACGGCCACGTATATAAATTTTCTAGTAGCCAAATATAGTTTCCATTGATTCCTAACTTACTATGAATCCCAATGGAATGAAAACTGTATGGTAATGATTTTCAGTATCCATTAAATTAATTTTTCCCACGAGTGAGTTACATTGATAGTGTTTGTTTTTGAATCAAGCCTTCATTGCTGGATAAATATAACACATTCTTCCTGAATTCCACTCCCAGATTTTATTTGCTTACAATCTGCTTAGGGTTATTATGCCTTTTTATTATATGAAATGGACCTCTATTTATTTTTTATATTTGTTTTGGAACCAGAGAAATGTTAGACTCACAGTGTTAGAAACTTCTATGTTTTTTTTTTCCAAGTATTTTTGGAATGCTTTATAAAACACAGGTATGAAATATATTGTGCAGATTTGGTAGAAGGCTTTCAGTACAACTCAGGGCCTCTTGATTTTGAGGTATAAATCTTAGGCCTCTATATTAGTCAGGGCTCAGACAGAGAAGCAGAACTAGTAGGAGATGTGTATCAAGAGACCCACTGCAAGGGACAGTATAGGTGGTTCTGAGGCTGGTGGTTCGAGAAGCCCCACATCTCAGGGAAGGTGTTAGGCATGGCTGGCCAAAGGTGCTGCCCAACTGCAGAACTCTCTCTACATTAGGGCTTTCAACTGATTGAATCAGGCTCACCCCGACCTGCTAGGATGCTCTCCCTTCAAGTCAGCTAAGAACTTTAATCACGATACAAAATGCCATCCCAGCAGCACCTAGCTTAGTGTGTGAATAACTGAGGACTGGAGCTTAGGCAGGTTGACACATGAAAAAGGACCATCACAGCCTCTGTTACAATGTCATTGACTATTGGTTCTTTTTCCTACCCCTGCTTGAATAAAGTTGGTTATATACACATGTACCATTTGTTTCCTTTCTGTATAAGGCTACATTTTTTTCGGCTACTTGCATGGGTTTTGGGGTCATAAAATTTTCATCATCTTTTTTGTTTTTATATCCTCTTGTTTGGCCACCATTATTTCAATATTTGTGAAAGTGGAGCTGCTCACAGTAGGAAGAGCCTCACCCCCTGCAAATGCCAAAGTAGTGAGGGTTGAAGAGAACTTCGTTGTTCTTTCTGCATAGCTGAACCCATTTCTCCCCACTCTGGCCCACTGGTCTCCAAACATGTCCTCTGAGAACGATGAGAGTGACCTAAAATTCATGTCTGCTTCACTATCAGACCCCTAACCCACCACCAGGACCCCTCCCAGGATAGGGGAGTGGGGAGGGTTACTTTAAATGAGGGGGCCTGGAAATAGACAGAGATCGGCTCATTCACAAATCACCTTGAGTTCTAAAACTTAGCAGATTTGAATTCAATTCTTCTTATTTACTGTAATTTATATATAGTGGCAGTTTCCAGGCCCCTGATCTGGGGTCCCCACGTTTCCAGCTGGGTAGTAGTAAATGGCTCAATTTTTAGATTAATTCCTTCCAATGCATTTGGAACCTCAGAAATCCTACTTCTGACCCAAACTCTCAACATGAAATACTTTATTCTTTTCTACCCCAGCCCCCTCCTCTACTTAGTCCTACATCGCTCGGTAGAAACTTCCTTTCCCCCATCAAAGAGAGAAGGGAAATAGGTGATCCTTGGGAGTAGTTCCCAAACCCTCTCTGATTTTGCAATGAGAGGGGCATTCTCAAGTACAATTTTCTGTAAAATATCCACTATTAGGCTTGACTCACATTCTCATCCCCGGCTTTTCTTATATTTTCTTGTTCCTCCTGGAATTCCCTTTTGTACTTTCTCCAAGCATGGAAAAAGAAACTGGTGAAATCTGGTTGATTCTTTTCTCTTCTGACCAAGTTGTTGTTAGGAACAGATTGCTGTTAGAGGGACATTCACGCCTTTTCCTTTGGCAAGTATACTCTGTTCCTTGGTTGTTTTCAAATTTGGGGAAGTATTAGAGATTTTTAGAATTTGGCCTTTCACACTCTCCCTTAGGCTGCTGAGATGTTAGCCTCACGGAGTATGAGACATGTAACTTCTAGAAACTTCTGTCTCTGAGCACTCCTTGCTCTAAAATTTGAATAGTGTGAGTAGTTTTTGTGTTTTTACTTACTCGTTCATAATTTTATTGGGTGTAGAGAGGGCTTGCTCCGAACTAGTTTAATACCACCATCTTACCTCAGCAGCCCTATTCACTCAAAAGTGTAGACTCTCCACTCCCTGCTCTCACTGACATTTCCACCAGGTGCCCACAGCTCATCCCAGACCCTCCACTTCTGAGACATTGCCCTTGCAGGAAAGTTGCCATCTGCTATTTATTTTTCCTTTTTTTTAAAGATTTTATTTATTTATTTATTTATTTATTTATTTATTTATTTGAGAGAGAGAGAGAGAGAGAGTGCACATGAGTGGGAGGAGGGCAGAGGGAGAAAGAGAAGCAGACTCCCTGCTGAACAGGGATGTGGGACCCTGAGATCATGACCTGAGCTGAAGGCAGACAACTAACTGAGCCATCCAGGTGCCCCACCATCTGCTATTTCTTTCTCTTGACCCAGGACCCAGCAAAGAAGAGTTGCTTGGTGAACATTTAAGTATATTAGGTTTTTATTGCTGCATAACTAATTACTCCAAAACTGAGTCGCTTAACAGTAATAAAAGCTTACCATGGCAGTTTTTGTCGTTTAAGAATTCAGAAGCAGCTGAGCTGGGTGGTTCTGATTTGGGATCTTTCATGAAGTTTGCCCTAAAGAAGCTGGTCAGGGCCTCAGTCATCCAAAAGCTTGACTGGGCCCAGAGGATCTGCTTCCAGATGGTTTGTTCACATGCTGCTGGTTTTGTGAGGAGGACTCCGTTCTTCCTGGTGGGGGCCTCTCTATGGGCTGCCTGAGTGGCCTCACAACATGGTGGCCCCCTTCCCCTCAAGGGAGCA